TGATCCGTGTGCGCTTGAGAAAAATGTGTACTCCGTTTTTTTTGGGTTTAGTGTTCTATAGATGTCTGTTAAGCCCAAATGCTCTAGGTCCTTATTTAGAGCTTTAGTTTCTTTACTTATTTTTTGTCTTGTTGATCTATCCATTGTTGATAGTGGTGTGTTGAAGTCTCCCACTACATATGTGTTTCTCTGATGTCTGTTTTCAGAGAGGACCAACAGTTGTCTGATATATTTGGTGCTCTTCGTTTGGTGAGTATATGTTAATGAGTGTTATTTCTTCTTGAAGTATTGTCCCCTTAATCATAATGTAGTGACCATTGGGTCTCTTTTTTTTTTTTGAGTTTGAAGTCTGTTTTATTGATATAAGTATAGCTGTTCCTGCTTTCTTTTTTGGCCCATTTGCTTGTAGGATTGTTTTCCATCCTTTGACTTTGAGCCTATTTTTATCTTTTGTAGCTAAATGTGTTTCCTGGAGACAGCAAAAGGTTGGGTTTTGTTTCTTAATCCAGGCTGCAACTCTGTGTTTTTATTGAAGAGTTTAGTCCATTTACATTTAGAGTTAATATTGATATGTTAGCATCTGTATTTGCCATTATGTTTGTCTTTCCTTTGATTTTATTTATTTATTCTTTTAATAACTTTTTTTTTTTTTTTGGTCTTCTTTCGTTGTTATTCGTCCCTCTGAGGTTCTGGCTTTAGGATCCTTGTAGTATTTTTTGGAGTGGGGGTTTAGTCGCAATGAAATTCCGGAGTTTCTCTTTGTCTGGGAAGGTCATATTCTTTCTTCATGGAGGAAAGAGAGCTTTGCGGGATAGAGTATTCTTGGTTGGCATCTGTTTTCTTGGAGTCTGTTGACTATGTCCTCCACTCTCTCCTTGCCCGTAGTGTTTCTTCAGAGAAGTCTGATGTCAGCCTGATTGGTTTTCCTTTGAATGTATCTGTTTCTTTCCCTCTTGCCAGCTTCATTATTTTTTCCTTGTCCTGGATTCTTGGGAGCTTTACTATTATGTGTCTTGCTGTGTTTTCCTTTCGTCGTGGAAGTTTGGTGTTCTTCTTGCTTCTTGTATATCAATTTTCAGCTCCTTCTTCGCATTTGGGAAGTCTCTTCAATTATATCCATGATATTTTCTCTGTTCCTACATCTCTCTCCTCTCCTTCTGGAATTCCTATAACTCTTATATTTCCTTTCCTCATGGAGTCAGATAGTTCCGAAGTCTTTCTTCATTCTTTTTCCTTCGTACTTCTCTTTCCTTTTCTGTTTTGGTTCTTTTTATTTCTGTGTCTTCAAGATTACTTATTCGTTCTTCCATTCATCTATTCTGCTTTCATTGCTTTTCCCAGAGTTCTTTAGTTCCTCCATTAATTCTTTGATCTCTGCATTTCTCTTACTTCCCTCTTTAGGGACTCAATTTCCTTCTTCTGATCTATCACTTTTTTAATCATGGCAATTTTAAATTCTCTTTCTGGAAGGCTCAGAAGTTCTTCCAAGTTGCTGTCGTTGCAATCTGGGGAGTGGTTTTCTTTTTTTGTGTGTGCTTCTTTCCTGAGGAGTTTTTAGGTTGCGTGTGGTTCTTCTACTCCCTACTGTCTGTTTCTAATTTGTCGTATGCGTTGGGACACTGTGTTGCTCGGACTGACTGACATCTTGGGTGAACTTCTCCGCTCCCTCTGGCTCTTCCAGGAGCCATCTCTGTCTTCTGGGGGAGCTTTCTGCTGGTTTTAGGCAGTTTTTACTGAAGAAATGTCCCTGTTCTCAAATGGCGAAGCGGGATGCAGTCCCTGCGCCTCCGGTTTCAGGCACACTCTTCTGCGCACCCGGTCTGCCCCGGACGTGGGTGCCTGCTCCCTCTGTGGGCTCAGACTGCTGGTCGGAAGGGGCCTGGCGTGGAATAACTTCCCGGCTGGCCACTGGGTCCTCCAGAAACCTTCTGCCCTTTTCAAGCAGTCTTAAGAAATGTCCTGTTTTATAGGGTGTTAGTGACTTTTTTTTTTTCCTGGTCGCTAGGTGGCGCCAGAGATCTCTCCTATTGTCCTTGGGGGGCTGTTTTTCGCCTCCCCCCACCCCGTGGGACAGAGAACAGAGCGGGAATGGTAGGGTACACCTCAACAGCTTTGGGGTGCTGTGTCTGCCTTGTGCCCCACCGTCGTGGAGAAACCACGTCCCTAATTTTCGTGCCCGGGTCTCAGTTCAAAGCCCTCAGTTCCAGGACGCGGGCTGTAGCCCAGTTCAGTGGCGCGGGAATGGCGCCTTTTGCACCGCTCCCGTGCCTGGGCGCCTGGATCCTGCTTACTCAGGGAGGGACCTTCACCTCAGTGAGGACCTCCGCGCGTCTCCCCGCAAGCCTAGGTAGTCTCCCCGCAAGCCTAGGTCGCAGGCGCGGGGACCTGGGCAGCCGCGATCCAGGTCTGCACTTGCTTTTCAAGCGCGCCGAGCACTCCGCGTTTCCGCGCCAGCTTACCGGCAGCCCGGGCTGTGTGCGTGTCTCCCGGGGTCTTGTTCTTCTCTCCTAATGGCGCCGGAGCCGTTCGCTCACCGCTGCGGCGGATCCTGCAGGGTTCGCCTCAGCTCCTGTTCACGGGGTGTGGTGGCTGCAATAGTTCCTTTCCACTCACAGTCCCGCTTGCTGCCTCGTTTGTTCTTGTGGGCCGTTTTGGTTTGTTGTTTCCTCCTCTCTGCAGGTCGGAGAGTGCCGCCTCTGTGGGCGGGGGAGGGGAGCAGGGTTCTGCGCTTCCCTCCCTTCTAGTCCTCTTTTATGGCCAGTTTCTTCTTCGGGCAGTTCGCTGGCGTCACCCGTTTATCTTCCGTGGCCCAGTTCTCACTGGGACCTGCCGCTTTTCCTCCTATTCACTTTTTTAATGGGAGATCTTACTCGCAGCGTCTCCTCGCCGCCATTTTGCCGGGACAGCATCTTACAGTTCAAAGAGATTTAATGATTTGTATGTCAGTCTTTTATTCCACTAATAGGTGCTAGTGCCTGAATTTGGAGATAGAGCAGTTAAAAAATCAAAAACTGGGCCTCCCTGGTGGCGCAGGGGTTAAAGTCTCAGTGCTATCAAGCTATTCCCCAGCCACTGCGACATGGGTTTGATCCCTAGCCAGGGAGCTAACCCACATGGCACAGCAGACCTCTCCTGTCTACCCACTGCTCCCCTGGTAGATTTACCTGTTCTGCTCCCCACTCTGTCTCTGGTGAATCCTCCCACCCCCCCACCTCTGGCTTACACCCCTGTTCTTGTATGCATAAATAAATAAAGTAAATCTTTTTTTAAAAGCAGGCAAAAGTCTCTTCTCCCAGGGACTTATAATGGGGGAAGCAGACAACAAACCTAATAAATATGTAAGTGTAGCCATGCCTTTGCCGAGTGGTATTATGGAGAATAACAATGCAGAGAGGTGTGTGGGGAGGGTGCTTCCCTTGACTGGGCTTCACTTACTCAAAAGGTCCTGAATGAAGGAACCACCTCCAGGTCTTTGATCTTCAGAATCTATTCTCTGCCCCTGTGGTATAACAGTGGAGGGCTGCCTGGGAGGAATAATAGCGACAGTGACAATGATGACGACAATGATGACCCTTTTTCCAGATACCATGCTAAGGGGTCTTCTATCTTACTTCTAATCATCACAATGACCCTGCAGGGCAGCTCATATCCCCATTTTGCAGATGAGGAATTGAGGCATGGGGTAATTAAGTAACTTAAGTCACAAAGCCAGGAAGTGGCTCAACAGAGCTGAACAGCACACAGATTGTGTGCTGAGCTCCACAGATTGTATCTAGGAAGCCCTAGAAGGCTATATGGAATTATCTGAAAAAAACAAACTGCCTGCAGTTATCTTAGTGCATCCTAGCCTTCCCTGCCAAGACACTGGCCACCCGGACCTGGCTGCAAGGAGGGACTGGGTCCAGACATTCACTAAACATTCAGGATGTGGCTTTGGTAACAATAAAATCACAAGATTACCTGTCATGTGATGACTTTGCAAAGGGTCAACAAATATTTTTTCTTTGTGCTAGTGTGTCTAAGGCTTTCTGGAGGAGGCAAGTGTAGCCATTACTGTGAGGATTGTTAGTGTCACTCATGCAAGCAGTTTTGCTACTTATGCCCACTTGGGCCCGCTGCAAGCTGTGGGTAAATCAGGAAGGGTCAGGGTGCCAAATCCCTCCTGACCAATAATAGTGACAGTGACAATGATGACGACAATGATGACCCTCATCAGCCAAGGAGACCTGACATCTTCATAAAGCAAGAGCTGTCAGGATGGTGGTGGCTTGGGGGCAGGGGAGCTGCCCACCCTGGGCCACATCAGCAGAATCTTCCTGGCTTGACTACCAACCCCCTGAACCCACCCGCGGCAGGGGGCGAGTGGGGGAGGCTCTGAGGTTCCCTCTAGTCTGTGAGATAAAGGAGCCGGATGAGGGTGAGAGGAGCACAGAAAGGGAGCACAGCGAAGGCAGATCAGGGTGCACCCAGAGCTGGGAGGCGAAAGCTGGCTAGAATTTGGGGATGAGGAGAGAGGTGAGGGTATAAAGACATCAAAGCTGGGTAAACAAGCTTACCTGGGCCTGACATGACAGGCGGTCCCATGGAGCCTTGCTGCCTTCTACACAGAGCTGTGGAAGAGGTCATATTGACTCCAGTGGGAATGAATCCATTCCCATGCCCAAGAGCAGCTCCTGGGCCTCGAGAATTGGATGACTGGGCACCTCTGAGGGGGCGAGGGGCACACACCTGGCTCCTGTGGATGGTCTTGCTCATGCTCTCCTCTCTTTATGGTTTTGCCAAGCCCTGGTTGTGTGGTGAGTTAGAAGGAAAAGCAGCTGTTTGGGGCTGACCCCAATATTAAGAGGGCTGAGAGGCATCCCCCACCCCCAGCCACTATTCCTAGCTGGGAGAGTCCTGCTTGGGAAACACTCAGGGTCAGAGAGGGGCTGTTTGCCTCTTCTCTCTATACAGTGTGGGGAGCCCTCCCCTCTCATTCCACATCCCTTTTCTCCCCCCAGTGCTTCCCTTGGAGAGGCAGCTCCACGAGGCCGCCCGCCGGAATAACGTCGGCAGGATGAAGGAGCTGATCGGGAGGAGAGTCAATGTCAGGGCCAGAAACCACGTGTGTAAACGCGCTTCTCCAAGTTGGGGCCCCGGGATAGAGACAGTGCCACAGTGACGCCTCCACACTTCAGGGACAGATCATGGGGCCTGCATTTGCATGTGCTAACTTGGGGGGCACTTCATTGTCTACATTGTTGCAAGGTCTCTGGGACCTTAACCCCTGGGAGCCATTCAAAAACTGGGAGTGGGGGGGGTCAATGGTCAGGAGTTAGAGGTGACAGATAGGCAGCCTGGTACAGACACCTGGAGGAACAGAGATGGAGTGGTGCTTGTGGTCAGAAGCCCAGGTGTTCAGATCAAGAAAGGCTGCGCATGAGTGAGGCAGCAACTGTGTTCTGGTCTCAGGTCTTGCCTTGCCCGCTGAGTACGTAAGGCTGCTGTAGGCCCAGGCTTGCCTCAGGGGCTCAAAGACCAGGTCGAGAGGCAGACACAGCCCTCAGATCCGGCCTCAGGGAAGGTCACACATGTGTGGGCACAGCCCTGCTAGAGAAGTGGACAGAGGGAAAGTCTTGGCGCTTCTTGCTATCAGGAGTCTCTTAGAAAAGACGCCCCTGACTCTGTGACAAGACAGTGGATGCTGAAAGGATTGGATGCAGGATTCCTGACCACAGCAGAGGCTGCTCTGTCTAAAGTGACAGGGTATGATCTGGGTCTTCAGAGTCTGCCTGGGGCTCAGAAATAGTAGCAGGAATTCTAGGGTGTCTCTGGTGCATTTGGTTTTCCTGGTGTTCCTCAATCACCCTGGAGAGGTGAGGGGGCAGGAGATATTAGTCCTGTTTATAGATCAAAGCAGGCACAGAGGAGGGGCAGCAGTCACCTTAGGTGACCGGGCATGTTATTGGTGAGGGGCATCCATCTAAACTCCTAGATAAGCACTTGCAAGTAGCATGGACTTGTGGGACATGAGGATGCTAATGCCAGATTCATTCACTCATCCATTCATCGATAAGTATGTATGAAGGGCCTACCCCTCAGGCACTGTCCTAGGTGCTGGGGACAGAGCAGGACCCAGAGCAGATGGGAGAGGACAGATTTTAGACAGAGTGTCTCACAAACAGTTCACTTCCACTGCGATGAGTTGAGAGGGCGTGTGGTGGGAGAGGACCTGCCTTGCCTTCAGGGTTAGAGAAGGCTCCCTGAGGAGGTGGCATTTTTGTTGGTGCCTCAAGCAGAAGGGAAGGTTCCAGGCAGGGAGATGCATGGGCCCAAGCCCTGAGGATGAAGGAACAGCTGGTTCCCAGAGAGACCACACAGAAAACTAGTGTTTCCTCTTGTTGTTTCCTCACAAGTAAAAATCTATGAAGGCAAGAGGGTTCATGGGAGGGAGGCTGGCTCCCCCCAGGCCTACTCAGATGTTCTGAGAGTGGGAGACCATGATGAACTGCCAGGGGGGTTAACAATGAAGTGCGGGATTGGGAGGCTTCATCCCCATTCTGACTGAAGGAGGGGACAGAACCCAGGTACTCAGGGCCTTCAGGGACTTGGTGAACAGGCCACATGTAGCTTTCCAGCAGAAGGAGTGTTACAGGGCAGGGAGAAGGGCAGCCCAGACCCCACAAACCTGCCTGCTGTAATAGGTTCTGCCATCCGCCACATCAACACAAAACACATGAGACTTTAATGGGAAGGAACTTTAATACATTAGGAGACAATACAGGAAAGGCAAAGCATCTAGTTTCTAAATCAAGTTCCCAAAGTTACCCAATCCCTCGTGGGTAAAAGTCCACCCAAATGGGATTGGCCCAGAGCAAGTCCCCAAAACCTGCCACAGGTCTAAAGCATCTTTCAGAGAGGAGACTGAGGAAGGAAAGAAGCAGGATGGAGCCAGAAGGAGACCTGGAGGAGGCACATGGAGCCGAGAGACACGTGAAGAAACTGCGCTTGCCTTTTGGTTGTGGACTGGGTGACACAGACGTGGGTGAGAGATCCGTGGGGAGGTGACAATGGCAGCTTTTATCTTGATTTTGATTTTGCTCTTTTCCTCCCAGACTTGTCTGGTTGTTTCTGACCCTTTGCTGTGGGTCCCCACTGGAAAGTACTTTAGACTTGTGGCAGGCTTTGGGGCCTTGCCCTGGGCCAATCCCATTTGGATGGAGTTTTACCCACAAGGGGACGGGTAACTTTGGGTGCTTGATTTAGAAACAATATTCTTTGCCTTTCCGGTATTGTTTCTTAATTGTGTTAAAGTTCCTTCCCATTAAAGTCTCATGTGTTTTGTGTTGATGCGGCAGATGGCAGAACCTATTTAGAGCAGGCAGGTTTGCAGGGTCTGGGGTGTCCCTCTCCCTGTCCTGTAACAGGAGCAGCAGGAACAAAGACTTAGAGAGGGAAATAGTTTGGCACTTCTGAGAAGTGGTGGGAAGTGCCCGGCCTCACAACTCTACAATTATGAGTTTGTCCTAAGAGCAGTGGAAGCTGTGAAGTGTTTGGGGAAGGGTCAATGGATGTGGACATTGTGTTTTATTGCCTTCATTTCCTTTGCTGTAGAGAAGGAGGGAGCCATGCAGGGCCAGGGGCCCAGCTAATTGTGACCAGAGCAGTAAGACCCCTTGACCCTGCAGACCAGCTGTTCCAGCAGGGAGGTAGGCCTGGCAGCCAGCCAGTCCTCACAGGCCCCTCTCCCTCTGGCAGGTGGGCAGGGTGGCCTTGCACTGGGCCGCAGGCGCGGGGCACGAGCAGGCTGTGCGGCTGCTCCTGGAACACGAGGCTGCTGTGGACGAGGAGGATGCGGTAGGGACACCTCGTGGAGGCATGTCCATGTGTGCATGTCTGTCTGCCTGTCTCAGGATGGGGGCTCTCCCCTGGTCTGTGAGGTCTGAGGTTGCCTCATATACAGACACACAGGTGCAGAGTGAGCGTGGGTCCGTCTCCAGGGGCCAGTCAGGGATGCTGCCCTGATCCCACCCTCCCTGCACACTCATAAAGGCCATTCCATTTTAAGGACCTCTGGGTCTCAGAGAGTCTTTTCAGTCCCTCGTGAGACCATGTGGTCAGGGAGAAATATGGGCCACAGAGCAGATAACTGGAGGGACTGATAACGGGCCCAGCAGGAGGCAGGTCTCTCGTGGAATGGCCACTGGGCTCTGTCCTGATGAACACTTGGACCAACTGCTTGGATGAAAACTAAGTCTTACTTAACAAGTCAATAGGCAGCACGTTGCAGAGAGAGCACTGAAGAAGAATAAGATCTACAAAATTATCTCTACAAGTTTGGGGAAAGGACTGAGTGACAATAACATTTGACAGGAATACATTTAAGAGTCTAAATTTAAATTTTGTAAAAAGAAAAAAAAAAAAACCCACAAACTTCCCTGCAGAGACTTAGCTTCCATGGCAATGCTCTGTCCTGGTTCTTCTCTGCTTCTAGGCCCAGCATGAGGGACTTGATGACAAATGGGGCTAGGAGTGAAGCAACAACACCTACTCCTGCCTCTGCACCCCTGAATCTGCCCTTTGTACCTGCTTAGGTCTCATTTAGAAGAATTTCTGGGATCTTTAGTCGAAGCTTCTCACTAGAACACTGGAATCTCTTGCACTGTCATCACTGCGTTCTATTATTTCTTCCTTGAGGGACCAAGTGAGAAAAGAAAACATGAGAATAACGAGACAGCAAATTTATACATTTTCTGTTTCCTTTGCAAGTAGCAAAAAATAATTTTGAAAAATAAGAAGGGATACTGTCATTCAAAATAAAATTTAAAAAGTAGACGATTTATCCAAAAAGAAAAAGGAGAAAGAAAAGCAAAATCTGTTGGGGATGCCTCTGTTAGTTCCGGGAGGGTGGGGGAGACCCTGGAGGCCGCAGTCCTGCTGTTGGGAAGGTCTCTAGTGACAGGCCCCAGGCGTTTCCTGGACCAGCACTCCTGTAGCCCTGGGTCTCCTGCTAGCTGGAGGCTCTGGCTCCCCTGACCTCCCAATGCCCTGAAACTTGACCCTTTTCATTCCTAGGCTCTGTGGCTTCTCCCCTTGGACTATGCCCTGTGCTTTTTCTCCCCCGCATCCACCCAGCCCACAGTTACTGATGTGCTACTGGGGGTAGAGCTCTGAGCCAGTGCTGGGCCCAGACCAGCTCTAGTTCTACAGACTGGATTTCAGGAGGAAGGACTTAAGTTCTCCTGGTCCTTGCTGGCTCTTCTTTGCAGTTTCTGCTCAGTCTGTCTTTTTACTGTCTTCTTGACATTTTGCAAACAGTCCTTTGTCTTTATCCTGGCTTCAGCCCTAACATGGTTCTTTCCCCAGTTTCCAGAAAGGACCCATTCACACGAGGTTTTTGAAATCACATGAAAACAACATAAAATTTCTAAAACTCTATCTTTGACATTCTATTCTTTAAAGTCCTTTGGCTTTCTCCTTGTTTTGGCCTCAGTCTTTTGCCCCTCCCCCTTCAATACTGCCCTTGCTTGTATCCCCTCCCTGACCAAATTCCTGTCCATTTCTAAAGCAGGGCTGTCAAACTCTTGGGAGGCTCAGGTGCCTGCCCATCAGTCAGCTCTTTCTGGGTTTCCCCTCTCACCCCAACCACTTATCAGAGCTTTAACCCAAATGTAGTTCTGTTCCTCAGAGGAATCCTGATGCCGATCACTGAGACCCTCTTCCTGACTTCCTCACAGAAGCTCTTCAAGGAGCCATTGGGAGGTGGGCATGAACTAGATGTTCCATGCAGTCATGGGGTTGAGGGCCCCTGACCAGGTCCAGGCTGTGAAACTGAGTCAGATTCAGGACTAGAAACCCACCCATTCCTAGGACCCAGGCAGTTTGGAGGTGCTGAGGATGGGACAGGTTAGGGAAACACTGACCCTTTGCCTCATCTTGAGGTGGATTCTGCATTTCTGCTCTCAGCTGGGATAAGGAGCATTTGCCCAAAGCAGGTCTGCTTCTTATTTCTGTGGGGAGATTCTCTGGCTGCCAGAATGAGGCCATACTGTGGGCACCTTGTGTCTCTGTCAGGCCTCACCCAGGGACCTGGAATCACACATGACCCTGTTTCTGCAGAAAGTATGTTCTGGCCTAATGAACACCTGACTTATACTCATTGAGGGTGCCCCAGACTGGGCGAGGACAGCACAGCCACTAGGCCAAAGGGGGTGATGTTTCCCCAGGCCTCTGTTCTACTCAAGCCTGTACCACCTGATACCACCACATCCAAGGCAAGAAGGCAGGAAACCATGCCCAGGAGGGCACCTGGCTGGCATTGCATCCAGGGAAGGGAATTTGGAATCTTGAGGGTGCTCTTCACAGGGAAGGGAGGAATCAGGGGAAGTGGGAGCAATGTCTGCCCTCAGGATACAGAATCTCCTGAGAGCTGAGGTCAGTGAAGGGGCTGTAGTGACCCTGGAGTACTTCCCAGCTGTTGAGGGAGAGTGTCCTGCTGGGCCACCACAGCAGGAAGGCCTGCTCAAAGGGCATGTGGGTGGAGAAAGGGCAAAGGGCTGCCAATTTCAGTGCTGCCGAAGGAGGGACTTTCCAAGGGTGAGCTGAGCGGTGTCTGACTGTGCAGGGCGCTGTCGTAAGGCTGAGGCAGAGAGGTCCTGCAGTGCAGACATAAGCCATCTCCCTGAGGGCTGTTCTGTAAGGAATCAAACAGTTGTTTCTCAAACACCAGCCTGAGATGAGGTCTTTACCAGCCTTGGAAAATCAGAACAATGTAGTGTGCTTTTCACCAAGCTGTACTTGGAAGGGTCATATTCTGAGATTCCTCATTTGTGTGTGTTAAAATGACCTTTTTTCATGAAATGATGGTGAGAGTAGATGGCAGCTAAGTCATTTTTTAATTTTATTTTGCAAAAAAAGTTTGCAATACTGTTACATATGGTATATATGGATATATTATTTATTAATTAAATAGATCTTTCCCATTAATCTGTAATTCCACCTCTGAAATACTGTTTCCCAGATGCATGGGTCTGTGTTAGGACTCTGCTGCATGGCTTTATTTGTTGTGCTGTGATGTATTTCTTTCTTTTCCCCCCTCATCACCACCCCCTAGACACTTTCTCCCCTTTGACACATCCTTTAACACTTTCTCCCCTCCCATTTCATCCTAACCTCAAAAACCTCTCTTCATTTATTAATGATGTCCAGTTTTTATAAATATTTCATTTTGTTGATAGCAGCTATTTTTAAGATAGTGCTGGCCTTTAAATTCCTGAATTTAAAGGCGTCCCGAGCTCCTTGGACTGGGTGGCCCCAACAGTCTGTATGATGTTACTATGCAGGTGCGGGCCTGGGCCCAGGCCCACCTTCTCATGTTCCCCTACCTCCTCCCACCGCCTCTCCTCCAGTTTGGGATGAACGCGCTTCTCCTCTCTGCCTGGTTTGGCCACCTGCAGATCCTCCAGATCCTGGTAAACTCTGGGGCCAAGATCCACTGTGAGAACAAGGTAAGGCCTCAGCGGGCACGCTCATTCCCCACTGTGGTTGATCCTCTGGGTCCCCTTTCCACAACTACACAAGGCCGTCTCCACCTCTGCCGCCTGCTCCCCAGCCTCCGAGTACCTCTGCCTGCTCAGCGTGCCCTAGCCCTCTGAGAACCCTCTTGAAAACCCAGCTGATCTCAGCCTTGTGTAGCTGGTACCCTCACTGCTTCCACGGGTGCTGGCAGAAGGGTCTAGGGGTGCCTTTACCATCAGCATCAAAAGCCTCCTTCTTCTGATGCCCCCCCGCCCCCGCACCCCATCCTTTACAGTTCTGCAACACTGAGATAATCCCAGCCCTCCGGCCAGCCTTTTTTTTTTTTTTTTTTTTAAAAAAAAACATAAGAGGGCCTCCCCAGTGGCACAGCGGTTGAGCGCTGGGTTGCGAAGCTGCCCGCAGCCTCTGCAGCGCCGGTTTGATCCCCAGCTGCTCCCCGGCCACAGGAGGAGGGTCCCACATGGCGCGCAGACCTCTCCTGCCGCCCGCTGCTCCCCTCAGCAGTGTACTTCGGTCCTTCTGCCTGCTCTGCTCCCTGCTCTGGCTCTGGTGAATTCTCTCACCCTCCCACCCTTCTGACTGTTCCCAGTGCTTGTATGAATGTATGTATAAATCAATCAATCAATAAATCTTTAAAAAAAAAAAAAACATAAGAGAAGCCAAAGTAGCACCTTCAAAGCATAAAGATTAAATGAGAGGGAGGTGGGCCTTCTCCTCCCTCCAGCCGTGCCCTGCCTCCCTCCTGGCTGTGTGGTGGGTAGGAGCAGAGGACCATTTACCAAACTCCTCCTTCACCATCTTGAGCCTGGGTTATGGAATTTGAGGACTAAGACCCCAAAGGGCATGCGGCCTTTTCATTGCCTCCTGTCAGGGGCATGAGACCAACATGATTTTTCTGGTGATGTTACCTTCATCCAGTTGTGACACCAGTTCCAATATGTATGTGTTTTATTCACACACCAAGCAACCAACCCAGCTGTCCCTGAGCAGTGACCAGGAGATAGTATCGGATCCTCTAGGTTAAAGGCTCAGACCCCGTCAGATGCGAACTGCAAGTCTAGGTTGTTACCTCTGTTGTGACCCATTAGGTCTGATTAATTTGCTAGAGTGGTTCTCAGAACCCACGAAGCCAGTTTACTTCTAGATTATTGGTTATTATAAAGGATATTAAAGGATACAAATCAACCCAGATGAAGAAATACACAGGCCCAGGTCCTGAACAAAGAGCGTCTGTCTCCGTGAGGTCTGGGGCCCCTGGCACATTGGTTGTGCTCTTGTTTCCTTTTTAAGGAGGTTTCATTACATAGACACAGTTAATGAAATCCTCGACATTTAGTGATTGATTCAAACTCCTGCCCTTCTTCCCTTGTTGGAGGTCCGGGGGTGGGACTGAAAGCTCCAAGCCTCTAATCCTGAGTTGGTCCCCCTAGCAACCAGCCTCCATCCTTACTTACCTGGGGGCAGCCCACGTCACTTTATTAGCATAACAAAAGACACCTCTACCGAGAAGAGCTCTACGACAGGGATGGGATGAAGATGAAACATAATCTCTTTCTATAATATATCACAGTATCACACTTGATCACCTGGGTAGAGTGGTGTGAGCCAGCTGTGTCCACTGGCTTGGTAGCATTTTTCCCTTTCAAACTCAATTGTTAGAAACATTGTGGTTTTTAGGGTGTATCTCCACGATGATGTCAGATAGCTTTTGTCATCCATATAGATATCTTATTTGGGATTCAAATTATATCTTAATTGGGTCATTTAATTTCTCATTGAGGAGTTTTTAGAATTCTTTATAAATTTGTATTTTCAACTTAGTGATGTATTTCAAAATAAATCACAGACATCAGTATGCCGCTCTTCAGCATATGCATGTTGGCTGGAGTTGAATTTCTTTACATACAGTGAAATACACAGATTTCACATTTATATTCACTGAGATTTGACAGGTGCTACTCTGGGGTAACCCAAACCACTGCCAAGATGTACATTATTCTTTTGCTCTTTATGACTCATTGGCAGTGAAATCTAATTGGAAATCAGTGCTGCAATCTAACTCGGGTACAAAGTCAAGGTAGGAGCCCTGGGCAGTAAACATAGGATTTACTACCTTCCCCAGTTAAATGTTGCTTCTGGATCCAGAGACCTTCTTTCTGCCTCTCTCTCTCACCCAGGCTACTTCTCTCCTAGTCCATCCAGAGCACGCTGCTCTCTGCTCTCCTCCCAGGTCAGGAGGTCACCTTCTGGTGACAGACAGTGGGCTCTGCCATTTCCTTTCTCATTTGCAGCTGTATCAGGAAAGCAGAGGCTAGAACCTTCGCAACAATGTTCTATGGGGCATGTTCTGGGAGAGATTAGTGCTGTATAACCTCATCTTAAATCCTTCCACCCTACTTTAGTTTATAAGATACTTTCCTGCAGGCAAAGACGTCCAGTCCTCTTGGTCACCCAGCAATAGGATAATAGTCAGGGATTATAATCTAACTTGGCCTATGAGAAAATGGAGGCTTAAAGGTACAGATAACATTCCCAAGATCATAGGCGATAAATCCCGGGCTAGGGTTTGAACTCTGGCGTCCTGATCCCTGCCAGCACCTGTGAGGCTGAGTGGGCACTTGCCATTATCCCAGGAGCCCACCCCCATTTTTCAGTTTCCATGGGAAAGCTATGTCCCAAAACACTGGATCCCAAACACTCACTGTTCGGGAGACCGGCAGAGTTGAGAAGGGCCTCCCCTCACTGCAGGGGCCACCCTGGGCTTGTTTCCAGGACGGCCTGACCATACTGCATTGTGCAGCCCAAAAAGGCCATGTGCCCATGCTGGCGTTCATCATGGAGGACCTGGAGGATGTGGCCCTGGACCGCACGGACCAGGTGAGGATGCCTCAAGGCTCTTTGACCACCCCATTGGGCCTGGTGTTCCCCCTGCCCATCCTGGGAGTGACTCTTGGAACTATGAGAGTGCAGACTGGACCCTGCTTTAGGGAGCTGCCTGGCCAGAGGGGCATTAGGGTCCTAGCAAGCTGGACACAGGCAGAGAGAGGCTAAGGCGAGGCCTAGACTGGTTGGAGAGGGGAGCCACTGCTTTCTGCTTCCTGGAGGAGGTGATATTTGGTGACTGTATTTGATTTGGCTGCGAATGTTGGGAAGGGGGCGGGGGTGTGCATTCCAAATGGAGGAGAGAACATCACTAGAGCCTTAGAGGTGTGAGATCTGGTGGATCGAAATCTTAGGAGTAAGGGCCAGAGGGACAGCTGGAGACCCCTCACAGAGAGCCTAACCCCCAGTTCTAAGGGATCTGTTGTACATTCGTCAGGCAGCATGGGACTATAAAAGGGTTTCAGTGCGGGGAGGGACCCCACCAAGTGGCTCTGGTTGGGAAGTCGGGTCTGAGCTTTTCCAGAGAGGGTGTGTGGGGCGAGGTGAGGGGACAGTGCCTGAAGCAGGAGAGACCACTGCAAGCCCAGAAGGTTGGGGAACAGAAGCCAGGTAGGCAGCACGTGGAAGTTCACTCTCTTCTCCCCGTCAGCTGGGAAGGACGGCGTTCCACCGGGCTGCCGAGCACGGGCAGCTGGATGCTCTCGACTTCCTTGTGGGCTCTGGCTGTGACCATGGTGCCAAGGACAAGGTACTGTGAGTGGGGCTCCCAGAGGAAGACCGGGCTCTGGGCTCCTGACCAGGGTGGGCACTGGCAGCTCACCTATGCCTACTTCTGACTCCAGCGTGCTAGAAGGGCAGGGGACTGAAAGTCCAGAGTGTCGGCTATTGATCCAGCAGGCGATTTTCAAGCACAAGCCATAGGTTGTCTCATGATGCCCAAGACACAGTTTCTTACTCAAGGATCTCAATGGCGCAGTGCTGGTAAAGAGCTCTGATCTGAGGTTGGGGGGGGGGGCGGTGTACTTTGGCCGAGGCCACACAGCAAGACAAAGGTCAAGCTGGGTTCGGAACCTGCATCCTGATGCCTCCTCCTCTCTCCTCCCCCTCTCCAGGCTCCCTCCTGGGGCCCTGAGCCCTTGGAGTCTGTGCTGAATTTGTCCACACTTATCCTTTCAGTGTGAAAAGGTTGAATTGGGTCCTGAGAATCACATCAGGCTCATTTGCTTCGTACTGTAATTGGGCTGAGCAGGTTGTGCTCTGAGCCAGCACAGAGTGAGGACAGAGGGGTAAAGAGCAGCCCCTGCCAGGACACAACTACTCAGGAAGCAGAAGTGATTGTACTCAGGACCCCAGGGGATCAGGAGCACCTAGAATTGCCCAGCTTTGATGCTCTTGCCCAGAATCTTGCAATCAGAAATTCTAGAGAGATGCTTCTAAATTTGTGCGTTTTTGTTGAGTTTTGTATTTTTAGACAAAGTATTTTCACTTGAATTGCACGTGAGGTAGGGCACAGTTAGCTTTTTGAGGCTCTGGGCCACTGAAGGTGGTGTGACTCCTGCCCCCTCACCCTCTCATCCCCGCCTGCTAAGGTGGCAGACCTGTCAGAACCGGTGACAACACATGTCAAGCCAGAGGGGCTACAGTGGTGGGGAGGCTTTGAGAGCCCAGAGCGATTAATTCCACTGGGAATGTCAAGATGCAGCAGGGCCTTACAGAGGGGGAGAGTTTGGGAATGCCTGTAGATGGAGGGAAGAGGCTTTCTGCCCAGCTCTCCTGCCCTTGAGCCCTCTGCCTGCCTAGGCAGAGTTCAAGGGCCCACATTGGGGTCTGTGCCATCTGCTGCTTCAAAGGGCAGGATGTGGATATTTGTAGGCCAGAAGGAAGATAGCCTACCTTGTCTCTACAGCCCTGCTAGTCGGGGGCATGTGCTGCCCCACCCCCCCGCCATGTTCACGTACTTCCTTCATGTCTCTGTGGTCACAGAGACTTCATGCTTCCATCACTTCATTGACTCACTGAGCAAATGTCATTGAGTGCCTGTCTCATGTCCTGGGCCCTATTCTAGGCTCCTGGGGAAATTTCAAAGAATGAAAGAGACAGATATCCCTGCCTTGTGGTGCTAAAGTTCTCCAAAAGGGGTCAGATGACAAACAATAAGCATAGCAGACAAGCAGGTTAGAGTGTGTCAGGTGATCAGTGCTAGGGGAGGAAAGAAAAAGAAAAGTCTAGCAATATAAGAGGGCCAGGAGTACAGGGAATAGTTTCAGTTTGAAGTAACATGGTCAGGGTGGACCACACTCTTCAATGAGAAGCTAACACATGGGACAAAGATGAAGGAGGCCAGCAATAGGGCTGCACAGCTGCCTGGGAACAAGGGAGCCCAGGGAGCATAGAGTCCCTGGGACCATAGCCTTGAGCAGTGGAGGGGGTGCAGGGGATGGATCTGGGATCTCTGAGGAGGGACTGGCATTGGGCAGTAGGAATTTTTGCTTGTTGTTTGCTGTGTCTGCCTTTAATTGTAAGGAAAAAGAGACCAGCACTTGTGGTTTCTGCCACATTCTCAGGGCTAGGGTGGTCTTGGCCCAGCCTGCAGGCTGCAGCTCGTCACCGACTTACTGTGTGACCCTGGGCATGCTGCTTCCTCTCTGGACTTCAGCTTCCATGTCCAAAATGGGGGATGTCTCCATTGGTTCCTGGTGTCCGTGAGGATCTGTGACTCTGCCAGCCTCTCAAAGCCTGTCTCCCTGCAGGAGGGGAACACAGCCCTTCACCTGGCTGCCAGCCAGGGCCACCTGGCTGTGCTGCAGCGACTTGTGGACATCGGGCTGGAACTGGAGGAACAGAACGCAGTGAGTCACCACCTGGGGGATGCAGAGATGAGTGGCCCTCACTAGCTCCCTGTCTCCAAGGACCTGCAGCCTGATTTGCTCCTGCTAGAGACCCTGAAGCCAGGAAGCTGAGGACATGTCCCTGGACTAACAGTCCACCAGGAAAAGATAAGCAGCAACACCAAACTCCAGGCTTAGAGGGGGTCTTGGCATGATGGATTGCCAAGAAGTCACGCACAGGAAATCATGTATGCGATGTATGTTCAAAGAAGGGTGACCAGGATGGCCAAGGATGACTTCCTGGAGCAGGAGGGAATACACAGAGAGCAGGGGTGAAAGTGCTTGGAGGGCCAGGAAAACATGAGCAGAGTGGGGAGGAGGGAAGTGAATGTACCATGTGCCCCACAAAGTGATTCAGGGAACCACACACATCCAAGGTCATGGTCCTTGCAGCAGGCAGTGGAGAGCTCATAGAGCCCTGCAGCTGTGGCACAAGAGGGGTCTTCTCGCCTGGGTTCTCACGTCTGCCTCCCGGAATCCTTGTACCTCTCCCCGTGTGTTTTCAGGAAGGCCTGACTGCCCTGCACATGGCTGCTGAAGAGATCCACCCTGAGTGTGTGCAGCTTCTCCTCAGGGCTGGGAGCAGCGTGAATGCCCTCACCCAGGTAGCCAGGCCCCCCCACATTTGACATCTGTTCTTGTCAGTTGGCTGCTGAGCCACAGCCACATTGCAACAGTCACAGTGGCTCCTGAATGTTTTGTGAACAAGGGCCATGAGACACAGGCCCATATTTAGGTCTTGGGTTTTCCGCTGCTAAGCTCTGTGACCATAGGCAAGTTGCTTAACCTCTCTGAGCCTTTTTCCCAATTATAAAATGGGAATGATGTATACCTACCTTTTTACATTGCTATGAGAATTAAATACTTAGCACAAATGCCAGGACATAATAAGAGCTCAGTACTTACTAGTGCTTCATATTTTTGGGTACTTAATAGTTCACAAACCCTTTTAGAGTCATACTTCAGAGAAATATGACCTATTTTACACATGAGGAAACCATCACTTAGAGAGGTTTGGTGATTTCCCCAAGTCACAAGCTGGTAAGAAGCAAAACTGAGTCTATTCCCCTGAATCCAGAACTCATGGCCTGGAGGGTTTGCCCAGAGAGTAGGGTCCACCCCCCTCCTGACATGGAAGCCACCTGTGCAGGGGCCACACCAGTCCTCAGAGTTGGGGCTGCGTGGGACTCTGGGACAGGCCTCTTTCTCTCTTACCATTGTGCTCCTTGTTTGGCCATTGAAATTTCTGTGTCCTGGGAAAAGGGTTCATGACCTTTCTTTAGGCAGTTTGTTTTGCTTTTAATTTTCAGACAGTTTCAAACAATCTTGGCTGGTTGGATGCTTTCAGGATCTGATATCCTCTATGTGTTCCGTATTTTAGTATTATAACACAAATTTTATAAAAAGCGAAAACATAGTTAAAAAGGCAGATGAATTAAAATGGACTGCTGCAAGTATTTAACACAAAAGGAGTCCAGGAGAAGACGAATAAAGACGGCAGACTTAGAGAAAGTGCATAGCAAGATGACAAATACAAATCTACTAGAACCACCACCAAGCTCTCTTAAATGTGAATGATGCCTTAGAGCCACAAAGCACTTCATTTGCTGACTTCCCCTGGAAGGTGGGGATTACAACCCAGGCCTGGGGCGACAGCAAGGCCTGGAGAGGGAAGGAGCTGCTCAGGGGTCCAGTGTCCTTCCATTGCATGGGCTTGCTCTTTGCTCCCTTTCTCCTGGGCACACCCAGGCCAGCTCCAGATGGGTGGGCATGCACGTGGGCTTTGGCCTGCACTGGCAAATCTCATCTGCCTCTTTTTGAAAACTATCTCCTTAGTCTGTACCTTTGTGGCTTTACCAGCGAGGAACTGTGCGGGCTTTGGTCTCTATTCCGGAGTTTGTGATAGGAGATGAGGAAAAGCCTGAGGTCATAGTGAGCCCCTTTTACTAGTCACCAGGCTTGGGCAAGTGACTGGTTTCTCCAGCTTCAGAATTTAACGGGGATGATAGTCCAGGGGTAGGGCTGGTGTGTGGGGCTATGAGGGGGAGTTGGAATAACCAATCCCAAAGTGCTTTGTAAATTCCATTTTGAGGGATCTTTAGGGCATTGCAGTAATGCCTGTTTCCTTTAGAAAAAGCAGAGCTGCCTCCACTATGCAGCCCTCAGTGGTTCAGAGGACGTGGCCCGGGCCCTTATCCATGCAGGAGGCCGCACCAATGTGGCTGACCATGTAAGTGTGGGGACCTGTAATGAAGGGGGTCTCCACTACAGTCTTCCATGACCTCACTGATGAAGCACAGTAGGGAGAGATGGGGTGGGCTGGGGTCAGGACCAGGGTTGCTGGAGCAACCTGGAGCAAGTAGGAGAATTAAGTAAGTTTCAGTGGAACAGAATTAGAAATCCAGCTTGTTTTTCCTCCCAGATTACTGCAAGGCATGAGTCACACATATAACAAGTTTCTTTGTCTATTTATCTTTCTTTTGAACAATTGAAATTCAAAATAACCAGGAACACCATGAAAGAGGAAAGTGGGGTAGAGGAGGTTGGCCTAAACCCATCTACCAGAAAAGATCAATAAATTTAATTATATAAAAAATAAAGGCCATTTTATCTAGCAAAAGGACTAAAAGCAAGGTCAAAAGATAAATGATAAAGTAGATTCAAGGATAAAGGGCAGAATCTTTCTAATATATATAGAGTTTCTACAAATAATTATAAAATTCAAAATAACCCAAGAGGAAAATGACTGAAGCATATACAGGGGGGCCTCTCTAGTGACATAGGGGTTAAGTTGCAATGCTATCAAGCTATCACTGCAGTGGCCTGAGTTCAATCCCCAGCCAGGGAGCTAACCCACATGGCGCAGCAGACCTCTCCTGTCTCTCCTGCTGCTCTCCTTAGCAGTGTATTTCAGTAAATCTGCCTGTTCTGCTCCCCACTCTGTCTCTGGTGAATCCTCTTACCCCCCCACACACACCTCTGGCTTACACCCCAGTTCTTCTGTGAATCAATCAATCAATCAATTAATCAATCTTTAAAAAAAGAGAGAAATACAAACTAATACTTCTTGGAGATACAATTAATCACTCAGCAGACTGAAGTTTTGCCCATCCAGAAGTTTTGCCAATATGTTGATAAAGCCGTAGGGAAGTAGGCAACATCATATATTACTGGAATAAGTATAAATTGGCATTGCTCTCATAGATAGCAATTTGCAATGTGTATAATAACTGCAAATACATGTGCCCTTTGACACCAAAAGTGCAAATATATGTGCCCTTCTAGGAATTTATTCTACATTTATACTTCCACATGTGGAATTATCAATATTTATACATATTATAAATATAGGGAATCCCCCTGGTGGCACAAAGGGTTAAGTCGCAGCACTATGGAGCTGTCTGCAGCCACTGCAGCACAAGTCTGATCCCCAGCCAGGGAGCTACCCACATGGTGCAGCAGACCTCTCCTGACTCGCCTGCTGCTCCCCTCAGCAGTGTATTTCAGTCATTCCACCTGTTCTGTTCCCCACTCTGTCTCTGGCGAATCCTTCCCCCCCACACCTCTGGCCTGTACCCCTGTTCTTGATTGCACAAATAAATAAATCTTTAAAAAAATAAATATATATATAACATATAATTTATATACCAATATTATCTTATATATGTATAATATATAAATATAATAGTTGTATCATATATGCATGTATGTATATATAAAAATATATAAATAGTTCCACATTTGGAATTTTTTAAAAGATTTATTTATTTATGCATACAAGAATTGGGGTATAATCCAGAGGTGCAGGGGGTAAGTGGATTCACCAGAGAAAGAGTAGGGAGCAGAACAGGCAGATCTATGAAATACACTGCTGAGGGGACCGGTGGGAGAGACAGGAGAGGTCTGCTGTGCCATGTGGGTCAGCTTCCTGGCCAGGGATCAAACTCATGCCCCAGTGGCTGGTGATATCTTGATAGTGCTGAGACTTAACCACTTGTGCCACCAGGGAGGCCCGGAATTTTTTTTTTACACGCATATATACATACACATACATACATATGGTGGAAAGCAGTCTGGCAGCACATAGCAGATACTTTTAAAATGCTCAGTTTTTGCAAATCTGAGAGTTGAACCTCAAGAAATATATGGAAGTTCATACACAAGATATATATATATATATATATATACATATATATATATATACTTATATATATATACTTATATATATATACTTATATATATACTTATATATATATATATAAGTATATATATATATAAGTATATATATATATAAGTATATATATATATATACTTCCCTGAAATCACACACTGAGTTCCTGGCATAGCAAGCCCTCAAGCTTAAGTCTCCAGGCCCCTGCCTACCTTGAACATCAGTTTTTGGCTCCCAGGTTTCAGGCTTGGTGTTGGTAAATGCCTCAGGCCACCCATGACAACTGAGAATCAAGAAGAACCAAACCCAGAACTCTTTCAACCTCTCCTTCCCCAGTACCAGCCTACAGCTGGACAGTCCTAAGATGCCCCAGTGACTGACCTGTGCGGCTCCCCTCCCAGCAGGGCGCTTCTCCTATGCACCTGGCAGTGAGGCACAACTTCCCCGCCCTGGTGGAGCTCCTCATCGATGCTGGCAGTGACCTGGATGCCACCGACAATGTAAGTGGTTACAGAAACCACCTGGGCTTCCTGGAGTCCTCTGGGCACCCTTTTAGAACTGGCAGGACTTTCGGGTTTTAGTTTATCAAAAGCTTTTTGAATATCTGTTGAAGATAGTTTTCATTGTATTAACCGTGCCTCTATTTTGAATATTTGGGTCATTTCCAAGTGTTTGCCGTGGTATATAGAGCACATCTTCCTACATTCCACCTTGCCTTTCATTGATTTTGTTTCTCCTTAGGGAAGATTTTCAGGGTAGTGATAACTGGGACAGTCTCGTGTAACAAGAGATCTCTGAGGCCTGAAGTTATGATCAGTCAGGAGTCCTTTTAAACCCTGTCCCCACAACCAGCCCCACCAGGTGGGATTCAGTGCTGGCACACGCACAGACACAAGCGGTGGAAAGCAGTCTGGCAGAACATAGCAGATACCTTTAAAATGATCAATCTTTGCAGATCTGAGAATTGAACCTCAAGAAATATACAGAAGCTCATAAACAAAGATATTCACTGCAGCATTGTTTATCAGTCTTCAGTTTGAAAATGGCCCAGATATTTAATAATAAAGAAGTGATTAGGTAAATGACAGTGCAGAAACTATTATGGAGCTAATTAAAAATGGGTTTATCAGAGTTGACAATATGTAGAAAATAATACGTTAGGTAGAAAAATAGAGACAGAGGTATATATATATGAAGATCTCAAATACGTAAAGCCAACAAACTAAAAACATTTTGCATTAAAGAAAAAACTAGAAGAAATATACCTGAATCATTATGGAGGTTGAATTAGATGGGCTAACTAGTGGTATTTTGTTGTTTCTCTTTCTACTTTTTTATTTTTATCAAGTTTTCTCTGTTGAGTATTATGTTTATTATTAAACACAGCTAACCCTCCCCCATAACTTCTTAAGAGAAACTTTAAGTCCCGGTTGGGAATGTGCCCACCTTGGTCCTGTCCTGGCTTGGAGCCATGGGTCCCCTTTACAAGCTTTTCTGCTTACCTATCTCCTTGGCTTCTTCTCCAGAGGCAGCAGACGCCCCTCCATCTTGCTGCAGAACACGCCTGGCAGGACATAGCAGAGATACTCCTCGTCGCTGGCGTTAACTTAAGCCTGAAAGATAAGGTGCAATCAACCTCCCTTTTGAACTTTCATGGCTCTCTCTTTGCCAGAGACCCTGATCCAAATGCCTCCTGCTCTTCAATTGCCTCCTGCTCTTAAAGTGTTCAAAATCTCCTATTCTTCATAAACCAGTTCAAATGCAGCCTCTTCCACGAAGCTTTCATGACCCTCCACCACTTTACCCTGCCTCCTCCAAGGTCCTTCAACCTTAGCCCACCCCAATCCTAGTCTAGGGCTGTGATGTGGTTGTCTTCTGTTTCATGGTTTGTAGTAAGTGTTAAAAACCACGCTTCATTCCTCCTGTAGAAACTCTGGCTAACCTTCTCTTACAGCAAGGGAAAACTGCCCTGGCAGTGGCCGCCCGCAGCAACCATGTCAGCCTGGTGGACATGATCATAAAAGCTGATCGATTCTACAGATGGGAGAAGGTACCTTGCACTGGGTCTTTCCGTTTTGGAAGGGAAGTGACCTTGGATCCTAGAGTAGCTAGTTTGGAGGCCCAACCCTAATCAATTCAGGTGCCCCTCCCTTTTCAAGGGAGTGATACTCCCTCCCTCCCTAGCACCAGGGTTGTTTGTGAGGATCTGGAGATGGTCAGTGCCCTAAGCACACTGAAGCTTTTGGAGACACTGCTGTCGTTCCTAGTTGATGGATGAGTGCATGCATGCATGCGAGAGTGAATAAAGAAATGGTAACTTGGTTCTATTTCACTGCCATCTCCAGGTGATTGGAAATGCTGCTTGAGGTGTAGTGTTCAGGCAACTTTTTCTATCTGGGAAGAAAGCTGCAGGGATTGATTAGTTTTACCTGCTGTAGAACTAGAAAGAGGAGTAGCAGAATGTAAGACCAGCATTTTGCTGATCTAATTGTCAGCAAATGTGGGTAGGTAGGGACATTTTTATTGTCTTTGAGAGGTTTTTTATTTTACATTTTAAAAGGACAAGTTTATTAGGAAAAGGAGAAAAAGAGAGGCACCTGCTTAGTCATAGGTGAGCAGGAGAGCAACTGCTCCTGATTTGCAAAGGAGTAAGGCTTGTGAAAAGAAACACGTGCATAGTCAGAGGTGGGCAGGAGAGCTGCTTTGAGAGATTTTTTTTTTTTTATATACAGAAAATAGTTTTCACCTTCAGCTGTAAAAAGTAACATTGAGTTTATTAAATTATAAATTAAAAATCTAGTTTTCCTTAAACTTTTAAATTCATATTATTTGTCTATAAATCTTGATTATAAAATCTATTTATATACTAGTAAATTTTAACAGTCACTGCCAAGGAAGCCTTTTGATTAATGTTTGTTTCCATGTCTGAAACGATCTTAAACTTTTTAAACTGTGTGAATAAATTTCATATAATTTAATTTTTAGCATCTAAAATATTTCCTGAATCCTTAAATTATCTTAGTGAGTCCAAAAAATTAAATCTGTAGATAAAATGAGTCTCAGATATCTTAAACATTCCAATGTTGTTTACAACCTTAGTAAATTCTCTTATACATCTCCAAAAAAAATCACTTTTCCAGAATCAATTGAAAACAAATTTCAATAGGAATCATAATCAAAGCTATTCTCTTTCACTGATATACTAGATTCTTGTAAGCTTTACAACCCCTTGGCATACAGCAGGTTACTCCTAAATGTAACCCCAAAATATTAATATCAAGGTTTGATGAACTGATTCATCTCTGTGTTTGATTCTAAACCACCTCAGGCTTAGAAAGTTCTCAACATTAAAGGCAGGGGTGCATATTAGAATCACAAATCCTCTTTCCCCATCCTTAGACCAATACAGTCAGAAGGGTTAGGGCCAAGCATTAGCAGTTCTTAAAGCCCCGGGATGATCCCAAAGTACAGACAAGGCTGAGAACACTGTTCTAGGGAAGTGGTTTTTACCAGCCCAGGTGACAGCCAAGCTCCCCGGTCATCTCACAGGACTGATTTGGCACTGTTGACCCCGATATCAGATTCAGAGCTGTATGGCCATAGCGATTTTTCTCAGCCTGCGCTTTCTAACCATCAGAATTGCACCCACATCTTCTAGAGGGGCTCACTTAATCTTCTGTGGGTTTGATTTACGCTATTACATAATTATTTCATAACTTCTCATTTTAGCACCTGCTTTGTATAGAAAAATTCTGTCAACTGCCCTTCACTATTTGTTTGGATCCAGCAAATTCAGTGCCTGGTTCTTGCCTTGCCTGATTTTAGCCATAGCTGCTGAGTCATTCTGACACCTATGCTGGGATTGGTACACAGAGAAAGGAGAGGAATTGGGAAGGCTTCCTGGAAGTGGTGGCGTGTAAGTGGTCTTTGGACTGTGGCAATGGGGTTGAGGGGCAGGGAAGCAAGAGAAGGCGTTCTGGATGGAAGAACAGGGTGAGCAGCTCAGGTTCCAGAGGTCAGTCTAGTCACAGAGTCAGAAACCAGAGTAGTGGACACTAAGTCCCAGGCCCAGGATGATACTAGTTCCTGGTCCAGGCTCACAGGGGAGAGCCTGGCAGGGATTTTCCCCAGGCAGTTCTATACTTGTTGGCATCTGCCCCACAGGACCACCCCATGTGCAGAGACCCCAGTGACCCTTCTGGGCAGAGTTTGACCTTTAAGCAGGACCACCAGCAGGAAACACAGCAGCTCCGCTCTGTGCTGTGGCGACTGGCCTCCAGGTACCTGCGGTCCCATGAGTGGAAGAAGCTGGCATATTGCTGGGAGTTCACCGAGGCCCACGTCCATGCCATTGAGCAACAGTGGACAGGTACAGCCTTGCCTCTCCCACCCCAGAGCAACCAGCAGCTGGAGGGATGGGAGCACTGGTTCATACCTGTGTTTCCAGGAAAAAGTCTTGTGCAGCCCACAGCCCAGCCTCACCAAACATGTGCCATTTCCCACACACTGTGTGCTCCTTTGGGGCTCAGCCTTTGCACATGCTGTGTCCTTTGCCTGTCCCTTCCCTCTGACCTGTGAACTTCACATTCTTTATGAATCAGTCTATGCTGATACCCACCATCCACACACTAAAGTAAAGGAATCCCTTGTAAAAAAGGAGGTGCAGCTGTTGCCACTATTATTTAACATCTATTTAGAAAAGTCCACCCTGCCACTCAGGAGTGAAGTAGAAATAGAAATAAGAAGTATAAATATTGAATAGGAAAAGAGATTTATTAATTTCAGATGTTATAATTAATACATAGATGTCCAAAAGAAACTGGAAAACTCTTAGAATAAAATAATTCAATGAACTGGATAACTATATGATAAAATATACAAACACCATAGTATTCCTATGCATCAGCAATAAGTGTACAAAATATACAGAGGGGCATTTTACACACTGTTTACAACAGTGTGTGTCTCTCCTGGAAAATCTTAAAAAGGAAATATGAATGATGCATATGAGTAAAATAATAAAAATTAGTTGACCTACGAAAAAAGACTTGGGTAAGTAAAATGACATTTTGTATTCCTGGCTAGAAAAGTATTATATAAGATAGTGATTTTTTCCAAATGAGATTAAAACTTTGATCCAGTTTTAAACAAATCAAAGAAAGAAGTGTTTGAAACTTGACTAGAGGATCCTACAGTTCATCTGAAAAAATAAATAGGGATAGAGAAGGTTCTCATAGAACATTGTTTTGTTCAACATCGATTCATTATCATGTTGATGACAAAAAATGAATCCCAACCTATGTTGAACTAAACAATGTCACTTGATGGCTTTTGTTATACAGCTTTTCACTTAAAGTGATAATTTCCAAGAACCTATCAAGGATGTTAAGTGAGGACTTAATATAAAAGCATGAACATTCTGGGAAAAAACAGTGGAAGGGAGTCTAACCCAAACAGACTCGACCTTTCATAAAGCTAAAATAATTAACACAGAGAGATAACTGATACAAAAATATGCAGACTAATTAGTGGACTAGAGCAGGGAGTCCCAAAGTAAACTCCATGACAGATAAGCATGTTCATAGATGATAGGAGAGGGCAAAGTCTACGGAATAAATGGGGTCAAGACACCTCAGTCCCAAGAAGCTGTGATACCCAGGGCAACACTGTGAGGAAGTGCCTGAGAGGCCCAAGAGGGACAGAAAGTCAGGGACTGTTGCGAACAGACTGCCCTGGCCCTGTGGCTGTGCCTGCGTGCATGTCTCCAGCTGGGAGAGCTGACCTAGTCACAGAGCTTAATAAGGGGTTAACCCACCACCCGCTCTAAAGGTGGGGCACTTCCAAACAGTTGTACCTTGGAATCACCAGGCAAGCTTTAAGACTGTTCTGTGTCCAGGCTCCACCCAAACCTGAGTATATGGGGAACCCTGGGGTGGGACCCAAGTGTCAGTAGTTGCTAAAGTTTCCCAGGTGTTTCCTGGGCTGAGAACCGCTGGAGCAGGAGCAGGAACATGGCCAGCTGCTCTAAGTCGTGTTCTCATCTGTAAACCAGGCCACTAGCAGCCAGAGAGATGAATGCACATGGTGTGAAACATGGGACACCAACAGCATGTTGTGTTGAAAGCCTGGGACTGGGGAGGGTCTAGGGTCCCTGACACAAGAACCCCACCCCTTCCTATTTGAGGCTGCTGCTCCCATACTCTCCCCTCCCTGTCTCTGGACTGTGCTTAGCTGGAGCATAGAGCGGGGCCTGCTGAGACTCTGCTGGTCTCTTTGCCACCTGGGCATGTTCACACAAGGCGTGCACAGATAGTTGTTCAGGGCTGCCTCTGCTAAACTGATCTAGGTTGGCTCCTTCTTCCTTCCTCTCCCTCGTGGGCCTCAGGCACCAAGAGCTACCGGGAACACGGCCATCGGATGCTGCTCATCTGGTTGCATGGTGTGGCCACAGCCAGCGAAAACCCCAGCAAGGCACTGTTCGAGGGCCTCGTGGCCATTGGCCGGAGGGACCTGGCTGGTAAGGGTCCCCTGCCCATCTCCTGTTCAGCACAGTGTGGCCCCCGGGTCAGAGTTTCAAGGAGCTGCTGGGATGTAGCAGGGCCCTCCATGGGCTACTTGGACCTCCATGCCATGGAGCTGGCTCTGAGCCTTCCAGAATCCTGATCCTGGCTCTGCCTCTTGGAACTCTGGCAGAACCTTGGTAAATCACAGAGCCTCCTGGCTCCAGTTTCCCCATTTGTTTTGACCTTGAGGATCCCTATGACCTTCACAGTCCTAAAGCCACTGCTACCCTTATCTTTATCATGTCTGCCTTTTATACTTTGATTTTCCCCTCTAGTCTTGGAATAAGACTAGATTTCTTTTTCACAGACATTAATACATATAGGACAGAACTGGCTTCATATGAGTTGAACCAGTTAGATTTGGTTAATTAAAATTTCTGAGGCCATCACACCCTATTTGAGTCTGTCAACCCCCAAAGCTGTAACTTCTTTTAACACAATCTCTGGTAGGCAATTAAAACATAAAACTGGCCCTATGGGGCAGAGCTCAGGCAACATAAGGCGGTGGAATTCTTGTCTTTTGCAGAAAGCATCAGGAAGAAAGCAAATGTCAACCCGAATGTCCCCAGGAGATGCATAGCCATGTAACTGGATTGCGGGGGGTCGGGGTAGGGGAAGGAACCTCTGGACATTTGGGACCTCATGCCGGGGCCACTGAACAGAAGAGAACCACCATTTAAGTGCTTTTAAAAAATTACTGTTAGCAGACTTCTGGCTGCCTCTACTGAAACATATAGCCATGTAGGTCCAGCAGACAGAGGCTTGTGATCTTCCCACAAGGATCGTCGGGAAGCCTTTTTCAGGTTTTGCGGAGAATCCCTTTCCACAGGCCTGCCTCTTGCAGCCCTCCTGTCACTTTCATCTCCCTGGAGCCTCTCAGCAGTCCCCTGAGCACAGGGGCACCATTTCAGAGAGGACACTGGGGCTCAGGAAGCTTAAGCAGTTAATTGGGTGGTTAATCAGGTACCAAACCCAGCATCCCTGAAAGTAACTTATGAAAGTAACTTATGAAAATAAAAAGAGGCTTTGAAACCAACCCGTTTTACGGCAATAACCTGATGGTCTGAGAGGTTTATGTGCCTGAGGCCTCACAGCTGGCAGTGAGATTCAGAGACCCCCTCAAAACTCCCCCCACAAAAGGTGGCCTTGTGCACGTGACACCTGTCTCTGCAGGTGCTGTGCTGAAGTGGGAAAACCCCCTCTTCCCTCTACTCTATAGGGAAAGGTATTTTGTATCACGTGGCACTCAACTCTTCTACAGGATGAATTTTACAAAGCGAATTTTATATTTGTTTCAAGACAGAAAAGCAAGTTCTTAAAATAAAAATATTGAACCATATCTGTCAAACTCAATACTTGTTTTTTTTTTTTCATTGGTGAACTCAACAGCAAAATTTCAAATCAGACAAACTGCTGTGGGCTAGTTCTGTGTAAGCACAACTGCTCAACTCACCACCCCCGGCCAGTAGTTACTCAGTGTCTTCCGTGTCGGGCAGTCTGCTAGGAGCTGGGGTGCAGAGCTCAGTGCCCATAGTTCCTGCCCTCCGGAAGCTGTGGTGCCGTGAGCATGGGGGTGCGAACAATAATGTGGTAAATGTGACTGTGCTGTAATGGGTGTGGGCAAAGGACTATGAAATTTATTCCTTCTTGGGGAAGGGAAGGCAGGGAGGGAAGTCTCAGAAGTTCATGGAGAAGACAGAAGTGTGGAAACACATCTCAAGCAAAGGGCACAGTCTGCGTGGTGAGGAAACGTGGAGAGGAGCACAGAGATCTGTGTGGGGAACACTGTGGCTGGCTACAGGGAGAGTGGAAGGAGGGGCGGGATGACATGAACTGGAGGGGCAGGAAGACGGTAAGGGCCCTGGATAGTGCTCCCCAGCCTACAATACAACCTTTACGTTGTGTATTGTACTGAACCGAAAAGACTCCTCTTTGGAGACACACACCTGCCTATCTTTTTTTTTTTTTTTTTGTCTTTGCCAATAATTTATTTGCAGGTCACTCCAGGAATTATAATTTATAATAATAACACAAACTAGTCACATACAACATGATGTCTCTTAAGTCAATAAAGAATTTATATACTCCAAACTAATGATGATTAATTGCACTGTTGTTTCAGGCAATGGACAGATGAAAGACATAAAGTTCAAGTTTAATTGACACATACTTCTCTATGAGCTGGCTCTCTGTAGAGTCCAACTAAAAACTAGGCAGCAGCTGCCAGCTCAGGGCATGTAGCTAATGGGCAATAGCATAGGTATTGGCAGATAGGGTGGGCTTCTCCAAAGATTATTTTTTTTTATAATAAATTTTATTTTTATATTCCCCATACAATTGCAACCCCCCCATTTTGACCCCAATCCCTCCCCTCCCGCCCCCCCACCCCTAAAAAAGTGTCTCTGGTTCATAGATTTTTGTTGATTTTGATTTTCACTTTCTTATAGTTATTCATTTTCCTGGTCCCTTATTTAAGTTTTCTAGATTCCTGCTATGAGTGAGACCATCCGGTATTTTTCTTTTTCTTTCTGGCTTATTTCGCTGAGCATGATCCCTTCCAGCGCCATCCATGTTGCTGCAAATTGCATGTGTTTATCTTTTTTGAATGCTGAGTAATATTCCATGGTATATATGTACCACATCTTCTTGATCCAGTCATCTATTTTTGGGCATTTGGGCTGTTTCCAAAGCTTAGCTATTGTAAACAGTGCTGCTATAAACATAGGGGTGCAGGTGTTCTTTGGAATTGATGTTTCTGTGTCCTTTGGGTAAATACCTAGGAGTGGAATTGCTGGATCATATGGAAGCTCTATGTTTAGTAGGTCCAGAAATCTCCACACAGCTCTCCATAGTGGTGGGACCAGTTTGCACTCCCACCAGCACACCTGCCTATCTTTGCAGAGTGCTTTCCCTGCCTAATCGTGACTGTTCATGTATATTTAAGTTGTTTTTCAAAGTACATTTACTTTTTTACTATTACTCCCTTTTCAAGATGCATACTTAAAAAATTCATTCAAGAAATATAAACTTTAAGATATTTACTATAAGTCCACATACTTACAGTATAAGGTCTTTCTCCTGTGGATCCCAAGGCAATTTGTGGAAAGACTGGGCAACCCCTGGGGTTATATAACGTGTCAAAACCAACCCGTGTGGCTGGTATGAGAGTCACCTCTCATAGGTGAAGTTTGCTCCCCTCATTTCTTCTTGCATGCAGCTCTTCAGAAAATGGTAAAAGTTCTACTTCAGAATTTCCTAAACTGTGGTCTAATTTCCAAAGAGAGGTCCCCAAAGGTTCATACACTGGTAAGTGACCAGGTCAGACCTATTTGTGGACAACTCGGAAATGGAAGGGAGTGGGTCAGGGCAGTGGTAGTCTGTGAGTAGTCACTGAAGTCTTGGGCAGGAGATGCCATAGTCTGGCCTACAGCTTGGAAGAGTTTGCAGGAATGTTGGCAGATCTCTGCGAGGGTGTATGGGGTATGGAAGATGTGGAAATTCACTGTTCAGATCCCCCTTCAAGGAAGGCCTTACTGCCTGCTAATAGCTATCAGCCTCTCAGGTTGGCCTCAGCTGCAGAGAGCTGCCTCACCCCTCACCATTCCCTCCCTAATGCAGCCTATATTGGGAGCTGAGCAAGATGGAAGCATAAAGGCCCAATTTCAGCCCAGGAGATCATTCCAATGGGCCCTGCTGGCTCTGATCTCCCCACCTGGTTGGCCACTACTTGGTTGGGCCTGCATTACAGCTCATCTTCTCTCTCTGCCCAACCCACCCTCCTTCCACAACCTTCCTTCCTTTGATCCTTAATAAGCATTCTGTACCCAAAGTTTCATCTTCACATCTGCTTCAGCTTGTGACATGGTATGGGTGGGGGTCCAAGATGGCTACATTTCTAGCTGGGGAGTCTGAGGAACAGTGATGCTAGGAACTGAGATTATGAAACCTAAGAGAGAAGGGGCAGGTTTGGGCCATGGAAACATGTGTGTGGTGCTGCCAGGTAGAGTCTGGGATGCCTGCAGAAGGCTGACCAGATAGGCCTGAAATGATGTTCAAGGGCCAACACTGGAAACAGCACGTTGTAGTGATCAGGGTATAGAGCAGGGAGTAGTGAAAGCTGTTAGAGGGCATAGGCCCATGTGGGAAGAATCAGAAAAGTGGAGGATGGTGAGCCCCACAGCTCGTCACTACATCAGGTGAGGCCAAGCAGCTCCTGCCTACGGGAGCTCCCTGTGCATTGAGAAGTCAAGACACATAATGCAAATGGCAGCCTCAAAGGAGCCACAGAGGCTAACATCAAGCCCCTGCCTTCACGGTTTGCCAAGGGCTTCCATCTAGCCATCACTACAGCCATCTAGCCTCAAGGTAGAGAAGACATTGTGGTCTCCATGGAAAGATCCCTGGCTCAGGGGTAGAGGGGCAGTCAGACTCAAGATGGCCTTCCATCTCTGCTCCCTACTGTGATGCTGAGCAAGTCTCTTAACTTCTCCCTGTCTGTGACTACTCCTGTAAAATTAGTTTCATTGAGGTTGTGGTGGACATGAAATCTGAAAAGTACGACTAACTCAATATTCGAAGACTTTAACGGGAAAATCAGTGCTGATTTTCTTGTCTACGCTGTACCTCAGGGAAACCAAATAGCTGATGAGGGAAAGCTGTCTAATTTCTTAATCAGCAACTCCAGTTAATAAATGCACAAGGAATGACAACTATTAGAGTGTCGTCACTGTAGCAGTACTAAATGAGAGAATGCAGGGGTGTAGCGCTCACCCGTGGCAGCTGAGTCATTAGGAGAATTTTCTAACTGGCTCAGGTTGACGACGCCTGAACCCACCAAGCAATTTTGACAACTTAGAGACAAACAGACACTATGTGCCTCCTGAAGTGACACAATGGGAAGCACACAGCACCAGATGAAGTGTTCCTGCCAGATAGTGAGCTTAAACTCCATCAAGTCTTTAGATGTAAACTAGTTTATCAGAAATACCAGGGGCAGAGAAACGAGTAAAAATACACCCTGAGGCTACAATCAGTCAAATCCAGACTGTGAGGAATTCCATAGGGAAAATGAACCTGTGTCTTCAATAAATAGATAAATGGCATGAAAAAGAAATAGATGGAGGAAGAACTTATAGTTCAAAAGAAATTTGAGATAATTTTAATCAAATACAAAGTGTGAGCTTTGTAGGGAAGCTGATTAGAGAACAAGTCAGCTGTAAAAGACCTGGGTCAATCACAAATGGGAACACTGATGATGTTATGTTCAGTAGATGATAAGAAGAAATTACTGGTGAATTCTTAAGTGTGATGATGCATTTTGGTTAATTCATCTCTTGAAGGTACACACAGAAATATTTACACATGAAACAATATGTCAGAAATTGTTTTAAAATAATCCAGTGATGGGAAAATATGTGGACGAAGTGATGATGGGTAAAAGATGGAACAAGACAGGATACAAGAGGATCATTTTTGAAGCTAGGCGATGGGGACATTATTTGTCATACTATTTTCTTTATGTGTGCTTAAAGTTTTCCATGGGGGGAATGCAGTTATGAAAAGCATCTGGCATGGAATAGGAGCTCAATAAACGAAGGTAGTTATTTAACAAAAAAACTGCACTTTAGAGAATAATTCACCTAGCACTTTAGAGAATAATTCATCTAAGAAGTGTGAAACAACTGTTTTTCACCAAGTCCGATGTCTGTGAGCCCAACTGGAGAGATGCTCAAAAATCACAAATGCTACTCACTGAAGGTGAATTTTTATTCCAAATGACTGTAATGTCTAAAAAGACAACAGCTAAAAACAGAAAACAAATCACTTAACTGGAAATTAGAAGATGATTCGTAAGAGAGCAGAGTGGGGAAGCAGCCTTGGCACTCTGACAACGGTTATAACCAAGAAAGCATAAAAATAATCAATATCTTTCTGACACACAATCTGAATGTGCAGCATTTACAACAAACAACATAAAAAACAAAGGAAGGAAGAAAGGAAAAGGATAGAAAAAAAATAAAACCCATAAAATCCCAAACCTCAGAAATTAACATTCACTTCAAAACACAGTGGTGGAGACTTCCGGTAGCAAAAGTTTCACAATTCTTAAAATGGAGTCTTCAAAAGTACATCTTCAAATCCAAAAGCTAAAAAAAACGAAGAGGGAGCAGTTACACTGGCTTAGAAGAGCTGCATCTGTGAGGAAGAAAACCATTAGTCCTTCTTCCAAACACAGTGATAGCTGGCCGGCCCGACAAAGCAGACAGAGGCCAACTGACGGGCATGTTACTGATTGTACGAGGACACGCGGGGCCACTCTGCAGCAGCAGCCAAAGCCACAGCTACTGCTCCTCCTCGCTGATGCCGAGATTGCTTTTCTGCACCTCGAGTTCCTCAGCACTGACCATTGACGGGTCAATGGCTGCATATTTGGTTCCACGGAATTGCAGCAAATGTATCTGCAGAAACACAGAAACTTTATTTTAATGAAGGCATGTAAATGTTTTATACTTGTAAAGTTACAGACTGGTATATGAGAAAAATTGGCAAACAGAGAAAAGCCAAAGGAAAAAAAAGTTTAAATGACAATTTGGGACCTTCATTCCTCACTTAATATAGACTTCTCCAAGTCCTTACAACTCTTCATGAGCACGAACATGGCGTCAAGCTGCTCCTTGAGAGGTATTTACCTTTTTGTCTGCTGCTTCCTATCTTTTGCTGTTCTAATACTGTAGGGAATGTCTTTACATCAAGTCTTTCTATATTTAGTTTACGTTTTTTTGTCACACGTGCATGGCAGGATCAAAGGATGTGACAGGTTTTTTAAGATTCTTGATACTTCTTGCCAAACTGCAAAACAACCATGTCTATGCTACTATTCTAATATCTATTGAAGTAGAGATTGAGGAGGCATTGTGTGTTTGGGTGTTGTTTTTTTTTTAGTGCGTTAGAATTAGATTAAGAAGTCATTTCCGGGGCCCTCGCTGGTGGCACAAGGGGTTAAGACGCAAGCTATGAAGCTATCTGCAGCCACTGCAGCATGAGTTCGATCCCCAGGCAAGGGAGATACCCACATGGCGCAGCAGACCTCTCCTGACTCGCCCAACTGCTCCCCTCAGCAGTGTATTTCAGTCGACCTGCCTGTTCTGTTCCCCACTCTGTTTCTGGTGAACCCTCTCACCCCTCAAACCTCTGGCCTGTACCCCAGCTCTTGTATGTATAAATAAATAAATCTTAAAAAAAAAAAAAAGTCACTTCCTGGGATTCAGATGGACCCCACTTGGGTTTTATGTCCTACTCTGATTTATTTTTACTGTGTCCAGGAGGTAAGGCCACATCACACCAATGGTATACAGTAGTGTGTGGCTGAGGGTCTGCATTTCTTAGAAAAGGGAGACTGTGCAGTCACTCGGGTATCTGTAATATGTCTGCTTGACTTGTCCTATGAATTACCAATGTAAACCACTTTTATAAAGTCAGTGCCTCCTTCTTAAAGAGAATTCTGTAGTTCTCTTACTCTGTCATTAAAAATAAAAAAGGTTATGGATCTCCCTGGTAGCACAGGGGTTAAAATCTCAGGGCTATTAAGCTATGGCCAGCCACTGTGACATGAGTTCAATGGCACAGCAGACCTCTCCTGTCTTGCTGCTGCTCCCCTCAGCAGTCTATTTCAGTCGATCTGGCTGTTCTGCTCTGCATTCTGTCTCTGGTGAATCCTCTCACCCCCAAACCTCTGGCCTACACCCCAGTTCTTATATGCATAAATAAATAAAAATAAAACCTTAAAAAAAACAAAACAAAACATTGTACACGTCTAACCACACACTTTGGGTAAAGTATTCTGGGGTCCATGCTCGGACTTACCTGTACATAAAGATTTACCTCTGCACTTCTACACAGGTATGGGAAATTGCCTCCTGTTTTAAGGTGAGCCCTCCGGGCATTAGGATACAGTTTGTACATTTCTTCTTTAGCTTCCATTGAAAGTGCACTCTGGTCAAACACCTTTTAAAAAACACAATGTGTCAGCAGTCTGGAGTTAAGGATTTGGGACATCTTTCAATGCCCATGCAAATTTATGTTTATACACTCTTGCAAAAGGTTTTTCAGAAAGTATTTTAAATCAAGAAGCAAAAACAAACATATAAGTAATGCATAATATATGTCCAATTTGCTAAAGCTTATGGGCAGCTTCCAGCGACCACATATCCATGTGGTGAGCACAACTTTGAAAGAAGGGCAGACAAAGCAAATGGAGTTTCTTGGGGACGAAATATTTCACCCAAACTATTGAAAAGCTTGCTCTGGATCATGGTAAATGTTGGACTGTACCAGCAATTATGGTGGTAAATTGTAAGAAATTACAGTTTATATGCTTGTAATGGATTATTTCTTGGCAAAAATCAATTCTTAAAAATACCACATTAGAGCCTCCCCGGTGGTGCAGCCTTTGAGCGCTGGGTTGCAAAGCTGCCCGCAGCCTCTGCGGCGCCAGTTCGATCCCCAGCTGCTCCCCGGCCACCGGAGGAGGGTCCCACATGGCGCGCAGACCTCTCCTGCCACCCGCTGCTCCCCTCAGCAGTGTACTTCGGTCCTTCTGCCTGCTCTGCTCCCCGCTCTGGCTCTAGAGAATTCTCTCACCCTCCCGCATTTCTGACTGTACCCAGTGCTTGTATAAATAAATAAATAAATAAATCTTAAAACAAAACAAAAAAAACCCTCTCATTTAAAAAAAAAAAACCACATTAGTTGAATTTAGAAATAACTCCAAGGCAAAATAAAGTAGTTATGTGATTAAAATAAAAAGTATTTCACATCCCTTAGGATAATCAGTATTTAAAAATAACCAAACCAGGAAACAAGAAGTGTTGGTGAGGGTATGGAGACAGTGGAGCACTGCACATACCTGGTGGGTATGTGGGAATTTAAAATGGTACAGCCACTATGGAAGACTATTTGGCAGCTCCTCAAAAAGTTAAACATAGAGTGCCTCCCTGGTGGTGCAAGGGGTTGAGATGCAACCTATGAAGCTATCTACAGCCACTGCAGCACAAGTTTGATCACCGGCCATGTAGGAGCTACCCACATGGCTCAGCAGACCTCTCCTGACTCGCCCGCTGCTCCCCTCAGCAGTGCATTTCAGTCAATCTGCCTGTTTTGTTCCCCACTCTGTCTCTGGTGAATCCTCTCACCACCCACACCTCTGGCCTGTACCCCAGCTCTTGTATGCATAAATAAATAAATCTTTAAAAAAAAAGTTAAACATTGAATTACTCTGTGACCCAACAACTCCACTAGTGGGTATACACTACTCCAAAGAAAGAAAGAAGGACCTCAAACTCAAGAATTGAAAGCAGGCATTTGCCTCTCTATGCTCACAGCAGCATTATTCACAAGCTGGAAACAATCCCAAGTGTCCATCAACAGATGAATGGATAAGCAAAATACGGTGTATACACCAATGGAATATTATTCAGTCTTAAAAGGAAATGACATTTTAACATGCTATAACATTCATGAACCTTAAAAATATACCCTAAGCAAGACAAGCCAGAGACAAAAGGATACATATTGTATGATTTCCCTTATTGAGGAATAAAATAGGCAACTTCATAGGGGCAAAAAGTAGAACAGAGCTGACAGGGGCTGAGGGGAGAAGGAAAGGGGAATTGTTGCTTAAAGGGTATGGAGTTTCAGTTTTGGATGATGAAAAGTTCTGTAAATGGACAATGGTTGCACAACACTGTAAATGTACTTCATGCTATCGAACTGTGTATTTAAAAACAGTTAAAATGGTGAATTGGCAAAAATTGAGGTAACATTGATTTATAACATTATCTAAGTTTCAGGTGTACTACATTATAATTTGATATCTTTACTATAGCATGCTAAAATGGTGTTTTTTATTATGTATATTTTATCACAATTAAAAATTGTACTGATTAGACTTTGTGGAAGTCTTGCTTCTCTGATTCATAAGGCACTTTCTCTTTGGTGCCTAGATAAGTCATAGCTAAGTGCAATATTTGTTGGTGAAAACAGCCAAAAATACACCAGAAGGATAGAACCATTGTGTTGGTTTTAAATTTATTTTGATTTTAATGGTGTTATTCCTGTGAGGAAGAATACAGGATAAGCAATAAGGATATTTTGGAATTGAGAAAGCTGGTAAATTAAAAAAAAAAAAAACATTCAAGACAGCATTTAAAAAGACACTGAAAAATTATAAAATAATTATGAGGAAGGTCCTGCCATATACATTTAAAAAGGCAAAGCATCTATTTTACTTAAAAGGAAGCTTACATCCATAATGGTTACAGGGATGTCCCGAATTTTATGAGGTTCCACATAAGAATTCTGACAATTTAGGGTAAGTCTTGAAGCCAGTTCACTCTGACCCAAACTTTCAAGCTGCAGAAAGAAATACAGGTAAAGTATTTGAATTAATTTATATTAAATTTAATTTACATTAAATTTAATTTACATTAAATCCACAGATTTACAAAGATGCTTATAAAGGTGATATCATGTATGGTATGGCCAGAAAGGACACCGATGAGGAAACAGTGTATTTGAGAGACCATAAATTGTGCCTCTCCAGTGATGACATTGCTATATTCTGGGAACTTGACCTTCTGACGGAGGTGCCTCTGCAACCAGGTGCCTGTGGACAATGAGCCAATTCCTGAAGCTTGAAGGTGATGTATAAGCATTTACAAGATCTTCGGTGAAAGAGATCTCAGAAAAATCATCTAGCTCCACAGTTCCTATATGTATGTCCATAGTCCTATTGTATGAGAATCACCTTAGGGAGCTTCAAAAGGGGTGAGGCAAAAAATATAGATTCCTATGCCCCAAGCCCAGGAATTCCAGTCCATGGTCTGGTGTGAGGGATCTATATTTTTAAAAGTTTCCCCAAGGGATTGTGATGAATGGCTGTTTTGGGAAGCACTAAAGCAGTCACGCATTTACCAGCAAGGTGTCTATTTGGATTTATTAAATTAATATAGGAGACTGCTTAAGCAAACACCTCTAGTACATACTTGATGAGGCAGATATATCTCCAGGAATCAAGCAGACATGAACATTCTTAGCACAAGGTGTCCCCACCCCAATGTTATGATCCTTACCCTGTCCACCATGAAATCAATGGCATCAGCCATCATAGGGTCCACTGGGCCAGAAGAAAAGTTTCCAAGAACTATTTTTTTTAGCATAAATGATGGCATCAGCCAAAAGCTGTAAAACAAAAACTTAATAAATTTAAACTTCTAAGACTACACACAAATGGCAAATATTCATTCAGTGTGGAAGCTGTGTATTAGCTTGGTAGTTGGGACCTAGAGATAAAAGGTCCCTTTCTTCAAAAAGCTAGTTTTGAAGACTTTTAGTTTTAATATACACTTTCCCAAGTTTCAAAAATGTTTTCATGTAATATGATCAAACTTTTATTTAAGGATGTAGAATAATTATAAGTGATATTTGAAAATACCTTTACTAAAGCAGACATTCTGATGATTCAAGATTTCATTTTTTCTAATTTGCCTTATTCCCAGAGTTAAGTTATTTCCCTTGAAAAACTGACACGTCAGAAGTCAGCCTGTAGTTTTAAATTACCTTTTGATTGATATTCCAAACAGATTTCAAAATGAGTTTTTGTACCTCCCTAAGTTTGCTATTCTTAGATTCGATTGGGCTAAGTCATGGGAATTCAGTCTTTATGGATGTGACCTTTAGTTGACAATCATTCCATTAATCATGAGTGTTAATTTTCCTCACAGGACCAACCACTTTTTAGTTACCTCTCTATATTCTCATCCTGCCCCCCATAGCTTTCTTATCATCTAAAGGTGATGAAGTCTGTTTGCTCTGTGAGGGGTGGGCACTGCTGGCTTTGTTTGTTCCTGCAGTTTCAGTGTGTGGCACACAGTAAGCAATCAGACATTTGATAAAAAGTAGCTGATAATCAAGAACACAAAAAAAGTGGAGACAGTGTTGGCTTCTGATGATTGAAACAGCATTTAAAATCATCAAAAATAATCAATGAGCTTTAGTGCATCATCTGGACACAAAGTATTTGATGCTAATGTATTGAAAAATTGCTACCTAAATGCTCAGTAAACTACTGAGATAATATCAGCACAGGTTTTAAAAAATATCAGAATGCAATCTTAAGTAGATGTGGAAACAATGCTTACCTATAACATTATTTGAAAACCAACCTGACCAGACAGGTATGCTTAATGACTGGATTTTTTTAGGGTAAAACCTAGTCTTGCTAGCAATGAAAGAAATGCATGTTTTATCAGCTTTAAGTACAATGAGATACCTATCAAGCAAATTGAAATGATAAAATCACAAAGAGATGGCTCAGAGGTAGCATCTAGTTGTCCCACAAAGCATTCCACCACTTCCATCGTTCTGAAAAGCAGACTAACATTAAGTGTCATGATGTCAGAACACCTGCTGACAGACTAAATGCCCTAGTCTTTTCTATTTGGGGGGAAATACTTCAAGGGAAAAACCCAGAAACAAAGTAAAAAAGTAATCTGCACATGATTACAGAACACAATGAAAAATGGGGACATGTCGTGACCTCCCTGGTGGGTCAGGGGTTAAAGTCTCAGCACTATCAAGCTATCTCCAGTCACTGCAGCCATGAATTTGATCCCCCATCAGGGAGTTGACCCATAGCAGACCTCTCCTGTCTTGCCGGCTGCTCCCCTCCGGAGTGTATTTTAGTAGATTTGCCTGTTCTGCTCCTCACTCTGTCTCTGGTGAATCCTCTCACTCCACACACCTATGGCCTACACCCCAGTTCTTGTATACATAAATAAATAAAAATAAATCTTTTAAAAAAGGGGGGAAATGTCAAATGCCTAAAGAAACTGTCAGGTAATACACACAACTGTACATACAAAATAAGAAGTGGAACAGGCAGAGTACTTTATTAGTTGTATATGCACTGTAAACACACATGAATGTATATTGAACAAAGCTAAACAATAATTTAGAGTAATAGAAACAGCTGGACTCTGAGTTTATGTGATTCTTTTCTTTTGAAAGGTGACTGTTTCTAATTTTAAAAGCAGGGTGGTTTCAGAAGACAGAAGTAGATATTGACCCCACCCCATCCTATTGCACTGAAAAAAAAAAACCCAAAAGCCAATGTTTTAAAATTCCACTGTATAAAAATAAGAAGAATTTTGGTCAAATTGTTTATGTTCTTACCTGTTTGCAGTCCAAGTTTGGTTGAAGATTGAGGTGTCACTGAAGGAATTGCAGAGGATGAGGGACTGAACTCTGGGAGATTTGTGAGTATATTCAGCAAATTTCTGGGCCAAAAAGCCTCCCAAAGAAGCCCCAAAAAGATGAACCTAGAGGTAACAAACACAAGGAGGATGCTAAAACAATGCTCAAACCTGAATGTAAGTATTAAAAAATTGTTTTTAATATCATTAAACACAGAATATCATGTCATCACCGGCCAATAGACTAAAATCTCTACAACAATTAGAGATTTAAGAAATATGGTACTTATGTGCAATTTATACACCCTCCAAAGAAAGCAATACAATTGTGCATATAAATTATACAAGTTGAAAAATATTATTTACAGAAAATGAAACCACTAGGCAGTTTATGTTTAAGAAAAATATGCTGCAATAAGTCTATTCCCAGGCACGTATACTTGGATTCATACATTTTAATGAAAACATATGCCCACACAAGAACTTGAATGTTCATGTTCAGGCAGCGTTATTCAAATAGCCAGATAATGGAAACAATCCAGATGTGCTCCACTGATGAATGGATAAATAAAATGCGATCTAGCCATACAATGGATATAATTTGACAATAAGAATGACGTGCTATCCATGTTGTGACACAGGATGACCCTTAAAAGACAACACTAAGGGTGGAGGGCAGGGAAAGAAGGGATTGGGGTCAAAATAAGGGGGTTGTAATTGTATGGGGAATATAAAAATATAAAAAAAAAGAACACTAAGTGAAAGAAGCCACAAAAGACCACATCTTGTATGATTCTAGTTATAAAAACAAGTCCGAATAAGCAGATCCCCTGAGACAGAAAGTAGATTAGGTTACCCAGGAAGGGGGACTGCTAAGAGGTATAAAGTTTCCTTCTGGGATGAAAAAACATTCTAAAATTTATATATCTATGAATATATTAAGAGCCATAAGTTATATGCTTTAAAAGACTGAATTGCATGGTAAGTGAATTGCATGAAAAAATTTGAAGATGGACAACAGCAGGCTTTACAATGTAAATGTATTAAAATCACATATAAGGAAGCAGTTTCAGGGTACTCACTTTATCTAATTGTAAATGATCTAAAAGTTTCCTGAATCCATCACAGAATTCAAGATGGTCCCAATAAACTGGATATTGCAGCTGAAATAATAACAATTATTTTATTATTTTAAAACCTATAAAATTAAATGCAACTCATAACAGCTGAAAACATTTGGACTCACATAACAGCATTTCTCATTTGTTCAAGCTCTGCTCCTTATTCAAAATATCTGAAGATAAGTTCTTACCTCTCCTAAATGTCATAATTCACATTTTACCTAACAGACCAATTGAAAAAGAATAAAAAGCCCTTTGTAGTCATAGTATATGAATACCAATTTCTTTTCCAAATAGCTGAGAAACTCTGAGGCTCCAGGGTAAACAGAGGAGAAGCCACCCAAGACAAGAAGAAATGTTTTCCCTTAAATTCAATTTCATCTTGAATTATGGCTCAGGAGAACTAGAAATAACACCTGTTCTAAGGAGAACTTCCTCTTTTTTTGGTAGCATTTCTTTAAGGGAGTAGTCAATAAAATTGTTTCTCTCCTTTTAATTGACTTAGTCATTCTAACTGATTTCTTGTACTTTTATTGGTGACCAAAAAAGTCAGGTGCTTCACTCATAAGTAGCCCATTAATGTTGACAATGATGAGGAAAAAGAAATACAAGTCATTACCTCATTTCCAAGGAACTCAGGCTGGTCACCTAAGAATTACTTTAATATATGTACTCTTCAAATTCTTGAAGAATGTAATTCTTGAGAATGAAAGAATTCTTTAATATATATAAGACCTATCTGACAGATTTGTTTTAAGTACTTAGGTTCATTTTGACCTTGACAAATTATTGGAATAAGTATTACCAATGTAAATTCCTTTTGTATGCTTTTACATATAAATTACAGCATAATTCCAGATTTGATGTAATGTGTTACTTTTACCATCAAAATTTCCATTTTTGGATAAGATTTCACTATTTTGACACAGGATGGGGAACAGTCACCCTAGCAAAATAAATTTGAGGATTTGAGTCAGATGATAGCGTAATGGAAAGAAGATATTTTAATAAGAATCTTACTTTCATTTAAAATATCTGTGACTCACACATTAAAAAAAGGAAAACAATACCTTACTGCAAGAAAAAAATGTACCCATTACTATAATTGATCAGAAACAGATGCATAAAAAACAAAAATGTGAGCCTGAATTCTAATGTTCACTCAGTTATACTTACAGCTATAACCCGGTAACCCCATCCAGTCAGAGCCAAAATCTGCCGGAAAAATACATCTGCAGTTCCGCTGACAGGGGGAAGAAATATGAGTGGGCACCTGATATTTCTGGGGCCTGCATCATAGAGTGACCATATCTTACTATCATCATCATCCACGATAATCTGGAGGGAAAGTTGTAAGAAAAAAAATAGAAATGGATTTGGTTTTCACATTGTTACTTCACACTATAATCTCACCAATAACTTGAACACCACTGGCTGGTTTGTTACAAGGTATAAACCTTGGGAATAAACCTACACTAGTAGATATAATAAACTGCCTTGGTCTCAGTGCTAAGAAAGTATTTCACAGAATTGCTTTATGTTCTTCCAAAGAACTGCTTTTTCTATTAGTTTTACATTTTCCTTTCCATCCATGATTATATGAGGTCTATTTTATTTACCATTAAACACTAAACTCTGTACTTGGCATTTTCTTTCGTGTGTGTGTGCACACGCATGTGGGCAGTTTGCAGTCATTCCCCAGTGAGGTCCCAGAGGCCTGGCTGGGGTTGGCAGGGTCAGAGTATTCAGGACTCTAGGGGAAGTAAGGCAAGAGGCTCTAGAGAGAAATTGCATACAGATGGTGTCACTCAGGAGATGCTTCAGGCATCTGACAGAAACCAAGCCTCTGAGGGGAAGCTGTGGACTAGAGAGGAGGAATGAGGCAGGTGTGGGTATCACAATCCCAAGAGAATTCTTCTTGGGTGTAGGGAGTTTGAACAGAGAAAAATTGGCTTTTGTGGGAGAAAGGTGTAAGAGGAGTAATATCATCAGAAATCTGCCTAATTCAGTTATCCAACACGGGATAAAGAGGAGCATTAAATGCACTGAGGCAGTCAAGTGCTCAGTACAGGGTCTGGCAGATATTCAGGGTTCAGTAAGTGCTAGTTATTAGTATTGTTCACTGAGTGATAGTTTAATTTTTATTTTCTTTGACTAACTTTGATGGTATTTAGAAAAGTACATTAACTGCTTGAAATTTTTCCAATGCAAATTAATATCTATGCTATTTTTATATTAAAAGGTTATTTTCCCAGAGGGCCGACTGGCAGTACTGTGACCATTGGTATCACAATGGGTGGCAGCACCCCAACCAGGTCACTGGTGTCACCAGGAACATCTGGGGCAAGGCAAAGTCCAGAGGACCCAGCAATTCCCTTCTGGCCTTCCCCAGGTTATTATTATTGTCACAGTGGTGATAATAATATCCCATGTTCATGTTCTGACCCACCCACATTTTTGCTTTTCATGTTTTTTTTGTATGATTATGCTAAAAATCTCTTAATGGCCTTTGACAGTGAACACAGTAAATTCCAGTCTTGTAGCTAATATAGTTCCTCTGAGATAAGATGTTCAGATCGTAAATTTTCTAGGAAATTATTTCAATAATCCATTTTGGAAGAAAAGTAATTAAAAATGCTATGTTCTGAATAGAAACCATAAATACTTAGAAAGGTTTATCACAGCAACTTTCTCAGAGTTCTTTGAATGGCAATTTTGTCAGAATTCCTTCAGAAGACACACTCTGGTTGACAATTTAAAATCTAGCATCACAAAATTTCAAGAAACTTATGACCGTGGAAGAAACTGGCTTGGAGAAAATCACACCAATGAAACTACTTCCTGTAACTACTTCTAGGAATATTTAGATAAATTTGAGTTGTTTGGATTGGTGATCAGCTTGCTAAGAGAATGAATCCATCAGGAGTAGCTCACATGAGTTACTGAGGGGGTGAGACAAGACAGAGGGGCCCCAGTGGCCAATTCTCCTTTAGGCATGGTCAGTGAGGGGCAGTGAGGAGCAAGGAAGGCTCCCTTTGCAAGAGCCAAACACTCCTGACTTGGAAGCCACAGTGATTTGATTTTAATCCATGTTAACTTTCATGACCTTTGACTTTTTCATCTGTGAAATGGCCACACCACTACACACTTAAACTGTTGAAAGAATGAAATAAGGTATCTGAGAACTTGCTATAACAGTATCAGGTATACTGCAGGTATTTTGTTTATACTAGGAGAATTGTGTCCCAAATTCTTTGTGGAGAAGATTTTGTTGTTTATTCAAACTTGCATGATACTTCCGCAACTGTCCACCCGGACAAAAATGATTATAAGAGAGATACAGGTGGTCTCATATTGTAGTACTCTAATACTTCCCGGAGAGGGTCAGCAAAGACCTTACTCTATGATTTAACAATCTTTGTCTAGAATGCTCCACAAACATTTGGCATTAACATGGGACTCAGAGTCAGTAGTCACACTTCAATATAAGAGCTGTTTTTAGACATTCCTAATTCCCTGAATTGGACAATAGCAGAGTAAGTATATTTTTGCAAAAAGAGAACCTATAATGTGATCCACTGTAAATCTTAAATCTGAGGAACAGAAAAATGCTTTACAGTGGGTATAAATGTTGAACCTTTTTAGGCTGGCTTATTTGCAAGAGATCTGGTCAATGTCAACATTGGAAGTCTCATCTGCAATGTAGGGGCTGGTGGACCTGCCCCTACAGGTGGTCCTGCTCCTTCTACTGCTGCTACTCCAGCTGAGGATGAGAAAGAAGAAGCAAAGAAAGAAGAATCTGAGGATGAATCTGATGATGACATGGGCTTTGGTCTTTTTGACGAAACCTGTTATAACAGGTTCAATGAAAAGCTGAACTCTTAAGAGAAAATGAAAAAAGTTTTATGATGGAATCTGACTGCACACACACACAAACACACACATATACATACATGTGTGCAGTCAAATTCCAGTATAAAGATTCTATTTTTTTAAAGATTTATTTATTTATGTATACAAGAACTGGGGTGTAAGCCAGAGGTACAGGAGGTGAAAGGATTCAACAGAGACAGAATAGGGAGCAGAATAAACAGATCTACTGAAATACACTGCTGAGGGGAGCAGCGGGTGAGACAGGAGAGGTCTGCTGCACCATGTGGGTTGCTCCTTGGCCTATTATATGTATTTATGTCTCTATACGTTTCTTGTAAGTATAGAGAGGAAGTACATATTCCTGCTTGCTTGACTATGTAAAAGCAATGGTCATTATATTGGCCTTACTCTTGAATGAGTCTCAGAAGTTGACTGCACTTTACAGGGACAGGGTGAACTTTTATCATCTGTAACCTACGGTCATGTACTTGGCAGTTTACTCTCAAAGACTACTAAGGCATAACATTTAAGTCACACACAAAAAAACAATACAAGCTTTAGCAAATAAGAGGTGCAGTAAGAGCATACATACCTTTTTAAGGGGAACTGTACTTCTAAACCAGTTATAATCAGGAGAGACTTTAATCTCTCCCATGATTAGCTGAAATGGAGGTTAACCCTGAAATAAAAGCATGTGATGTTTCATGTCAAGAACTTATGTTTACATCAGAACTAAAGGTAGAGTCTGGTCTAGTTACACAAACAATATTTTATAGAGTAAAACCAAAGAAATGGTTTTTAAATTCTACCTTGGGTTATTTTACCTTGTCTACTTAAACCACAGAAAACAATTTGGTGCAATCCTATAGTTGTAGAGCAGAAAGGGGCCCTGAGAGGTAATTATTGCAAACCCCGTAGTTCCTCCAGAAGAGGAATCTGGTCTAGAAAATTTAAATGACTTACCCGAGACCCCATGGCTAGTGCAGAGCTAGGAGCAGTCACAGGACAGTTTTCTCTGACTTCAGACTGCCTGCCCTACTTAAATGATTCCAAACTGCTATACCATCACCTTCTTTTGACAGAATCTTAAAAATCTATTTGAATAAAGAAGTTCCCATCTGACAGAATTAGAAGGAATCGCCCACACTAGAGAAAGGAGTTAATGTAAGCCTGCGTCCTGACCAATTCACAAAATGGCCCAAATCTAACTCCAATAGAACTTAACTCCAGGTCCTCACACATAGTTATTAATGCAAAATACAGGAAAACTTGCTGTTCGTACCAATGTGACTGAAAGCTAACTAATGTCCTCTGAAAGATCTATAAGATGCTGGAGTAGACTTAAAGGCACCACAAACAGTAAGCAAACAAAACATGTGCCTTTAGAAAAAAGTGTGTAGTTTTCTGTTGTGAGATTAGAGATTTTTAACTTTTATAGCTCTGTGACCTTGGGAAAGTTACTGACCTGATTTGGGATTGCTTTCTCATCTATGACTATTTCACTACTGTATGTTCAAAGTCTAGTACACAACAGACATTATCTGTGGCTTAAATGAATGGTTATGTCCTAGGGAGACTGAATTAGGCAATCTCTCTAACCCTGGCATCTATAAGTGCTGAACTGGTTGAGCATCTTCAATGTAAAAGCTCTCTTTGCTCAGGCATCTATGTTATATCATAACAGGAACCTGAAATTATAGTTCCTTGTTGCAGATTCTCATTGACAAATGAGGAACTTTCACCCACTGGGTTGCAAGGATTCAATATAGTCCTCCACCCAACCTTGGATTTCCAAGCAAGGCTAGATGAATTTGAGACTCTAGGACTTAACTCCTGGGATACTAAACTGTCCTGTTAGAGGGGGTTCTCTGGACTAACCAGGAGCAGAAGATGGAACACTACGTCACTAGAACACTTTTTTGACCCTTCAGATCTGCTCCCTACGAATACAGGGCACTCAGCAGTGTCAACTGTTACATCACCCTTGGGAGGTTACTAAACTAAAACCTTGATCTTTTACAAGGCTAAAATGATACTTTTAGAAAAGTTTGTTAAAATCATAAGTTGCTTTAAAGTATCAAGAAAATCATCAGCCAGTATAATGCTGACAATCAATGTGCACAGATGTAGTTATTATTTGCATTGAAATCAAGAAAATCACCCTTTGTACGTCTATTTTCTCTTAACAAATATTAAAAAGCTAAAAAAAATCTAAGCCATCTGAACTGTACAGCCCTTTTCTAAGCTGGTTATTACTTTTAATGAAAAACAACTAGCACATACGGTTAATTCTGGAACATTTTTTACCTAGACATACTTGAAATATTCCTTATCATCTAAATACTTTATGATGGAAACATTTATTTTCTAGGTTTACATTACTATAAACAATTATTCCATAGGAGGAAATATCAAAAACATGTTTAGCAAATAACATTTCAACAAATTTATAAAACATCTTGGCTAAAGTCAGAAAGTCTGCTCCTAGATTCACCAAATTTAGGATAAAATTATTCATGGTTTTAGAATCAGTTGCAATGTACAAACCAAACTACCATACACATTCACATCATACGCAAACACACACATTCACAGTTATCCACTTCTTCCCACAGCAGTAAGTAGAAAGAGGTTTCTTACCACAGTCCTCAGTATTAGTCACAACTATCTTATAACATTTTATAACTAATCTTGCTGGATGGAGAGATTCCACCCAACTGTGGAATTTTTGTGGAGACAAGTGATTTTAACACTTGTGCTAGTTTGGCAGTACATAAAAGGTAGAACAGACAGCAAATGTTGCATCTGACCAACTGACGTCTATGTGGGGGGAAAAAAAATCTCGTTGCAGCAAAGGGGAAGCAGCTGTGAGTGGCATGAAAAGGAAATTTGTTCTCCTAGCTCTTTCATCCACGAAAGGGGTATACTTTTCTAAGTCACAAGAGAAACATTCTCTATGTGGCCAAGGTGAACTGAGATTGTGACTAAACCAGTCAGAATTAGCTAAGAATGTGGACCATGAGCTCAAATCAACACTGATTTGATCTCTCATGATTCAACTCTTCGTAAAACAAAAGTACCTGTTCATGCTGGTGGGAAAAGGACCACAGAGATCAGACTTAATCTTGCCTAAAAAAAACTCCCCCTTGGGGCATGCCTCAGAATCTAGTCCTGCTAGGTTTCTGGTTCATGTATTGCTTAACAATAAAACTGCCAGCTGTGAGTGTGCACCAAGAGTTACTTGCACTCATCTCTTGAGGTTTCAACAGAAATTGCCAGTTTACATTGAATGTAAACTTTACAGATGTTTAAGTGGCAAAACCAGCTTAACTAGTCAGAGATTTCTGACCCTTTATCACAATCTATAGTTGATGAACATATGGACAGCCTGTGATTATTATTAATACCAGCAATAACAAATTATCAGAACCTAAGAGTCTCTAAGTGATGACTGGCTTTTAAATGCAAGTTCCCATACCAAATCACACCAGAACATAGCTGTCCTTTTTTTCAGATCTCTTCAGGGGAAGGTTTGTCCCTTTTTTCTTCAAGAACTTATTCCATTATGTTCTAAACCTCCTGGGAGGAAAAGCTGCCTACTTGACATTTCTCCTGTGACACCTCATCATGTACTCTGCCTCAGTATAAAAGCTTTTGGAAATTTGCACACAGCTATTAAGTTACTCTCCAGTCTCTTGAATCTTTGTGCCATCAGGAGCTGAAATATTGTAGGTGGAGACAAAGCAGCAGCTTAAATGCAGAACTTTTAACTCCCTACGAAAAGGAGAAGAGGATAAGCGAGACAGTCTAGTCCTGCTACTTCCTCACCTCCCCATTCATAAGTCTCACACTTGGTGGGTACTCGGCAATGACAAAGACATCTGCCACTTTCGGGCTGAGATGCAATCTCCAAAATGACTGGCCTTTGCCCAGAGTTCTTAAAAGTTTACTGAAAACCATGTTACTGAGATACAGTTGTGGGATTACAGGAGGATGTCCTAATCAACACCTCCTACCGCTGGTGACACACACACTGTCCCCACCCTCACCAATCTCACCGGTTGTGACAGTCTCATAAGGCAGGGTCACAGGCACTGGCCATTCCCATGAATATAGATTCGAACACACACACACACACACACACACACACACACACACACACGCGCGCGCGGTCATGTGATCACGTGCACGGTCACATGGATCGGCCCACTCGGGGCCACACCGACAAAGTGGCACAGAGAGAGGCAGCCGCGCACACTACTTACACACCCACCTGCAACTCCAGACACCTCACACATCCGCACCGCTGCGTCTTAGGGCCTGACACACCCCTACCTGCCGTGGCCGCCCCCTTGTCCCTTCCTTTCTCCCCTGGGTGGCTCTTCCCTCCAGTAGAGGCGCGGGCCAGGGAGGCTGCAGGGCCGGGGTCTGGCTGGCGGCCGCCGCGCTCAGGACCGGCAGGCGCCGCGGGCCGGGGGGGCGCGCTGGAGGGCCGGCCTCCGAGAGGCGGGGCGCGCGGCCAAGCGAGCCGGGGCCGCCGCGCTCCCTCCTCCAGAACCGTCTGTGCAGCGGGCACGAGCCTCGCGCTTCCGGGTTCAGAAGGGGCGGGGTCACGTCATGAGGAAGGGGCGGGGCTGCGTGAGTCGAGCGGTCACCATGGTGACGGGGCGAGTCGGAGGCCAGGACGAGGGACTCCCCGCGCTCTCGCTTCTTGGTGTGGGATGGGGAGCCTTCGTCTGCCTTGGAGGTGGCGGCGGGGTCTTGGAATTGTCTCTAGATCAGCTGTAGGTCACCTGTCTGACGTGGGCACCGAGGAAAGGTGGTAGGGGTGGAAGGAGGGGCCTCCTCGCCCCTTGGAACCTGCCTCTGCCACTAGTTCGTATCCTCTTGAGAAAAGTTGGTGCCTGTGGTTTTCAGCAGTGTCACGTTTTGAGGGGACCCCTCTGGGTTCCATGTTTTGGTGAACAGGACTTTGTATACTCTCTTTTCTTGGCATGTTTTCCTTTTGTTACAACCACAGACGCGCCCCATAGTCCTGCTCTGCAATACTCCCACCTCCCTCGTGCTGTGTGGATGTTCTGAGGATCTCTCCCAGGGAACCTGCGGAGCAACTTCATCACTTTCACTTAAGGAAATAGAGAGTGGCAATAAACTTACAATCTGTATTTTTAGCAAGCTGTTGCAGAGGTGACGACATTCTCTTTCAGTGAAATATTTGCAGGTTGAATAATGTAATAAGGTTGAATGACTTGGAAATCCCCTTGTTTAAAGTTTTTTAGTGATCCTGCAACTGGGTCCTGTTGAAAGTGACTCTCCCTAATCCGTCTGAGGAAGACTTGTATCCTGTTTAAAGGCCTTTGTATTTTGCCCTTACCTAGGTAACTGTGGGATTAAGGTCAAAGAGGAATCTGAGTAAGTTGCAGTTATGATCGCTGCCCTTCTGCCTAGGAAACATGAGTCCCAGTTTAGATTTTGGACAAATCCCAAAAACATTTCCCATGAGCATAGTAAAACGTTGGCCTTTTTCCTCCCAAGTCACTGGGAATTCATATCAGTCACGGGGAATAATTTTTTATTATAGGCACTACATAAGTATTTAGGGAATGTTTCCACAGAAGAGTTTTAACTTTTGGGCTTTCCCCCCCCACGTTTGAAAGTTTAATGAATGGAATAGTTGGTAAGTCATTGACTGTATGTAAAAAACCATTGTGGGTCTACATATTACATTATTTATCCATCTCCTAGGCTGGGCACTTTCACGTAAAGGAGGAGGAAGAGAGTAATCCAGCCAGTGCTTTAGCAATGATCTGATTTTAATAGGTACTAAGTATATAGTGAATGAATTAATGAGTAAGTTATTCTATCCACATGTATTCCTAAAGTTTTATTCCTCAGATCTCACATTCCCAGACCTCTCTATTAACAACCCTAGTGAGACTTAAGTATGGATGTGTTCAAATATATTAAAAGTTCTTATTCTGTTAGTTTGGTAATAATTTTTGACTTGACGATTAAAGATGAAAAATGATCTCACTATATATATATGTTTTGCTACATTGATAGATTACATTGTAAAAGAACAAACCCCAAAAAACAAATGTTTTGTTTCCCTTAGAAGGGACCTCAGGGCCATGTGTGGCTCCTCAGTTGTTCTGTAACACATGACAAGCATATTGTCCATACTTTGAACAAGGAACATTTAATATCTGTGAATTCCAGCTGTCCTGTAATTGCACAACTGTAGGGAGCCAACGTTTGACCCATGGCAGGCCACAATGGAGCAGACCTGGTAGAGAGGCTGTGAGGGTCTGCAGCTGTCATCATGGGGGTCTGCCAAGTGGTTCCCACAGCACCAATCCCTGTGTGAGACTCTCACTTAAAAATTGGAATGTTCACAAAATAGTCTAAACACTAAGCAAAGTAAACTGATGACAGCTGGTTCTCAGAATTGTCCGAACCCATGCTCTATCCCTCAAAATGATCTTTTGACAGGTTAGTATTTGTTTTGAAGCAAACATGAAAAATAACCCTAGCTATAGTTTTTATGAATATATACACACCAAACAGAATAGTGTTTACCTCTGGGGAGGAACTGGGGGGAAGGGGCGGTGAAGGAGAATTTTGCCTTTATATTTGATATTTGAATTTATGTAATTACATGTTGATATATGATCTTTAAAAGAGTAACTATATTTATGCTCTAAATCCTGCTCTAAACTTCACTGTAAATCCTTCAATAACTCTCCACTGCATTTAAGCTAAAGTTCAAGGTGTATAGGCTAGAGCAGGTCTGGTTCTCTCAAAGGGCCCCAGACTCCCTATGAGGTCTGAAACCTTTAGGTGTTTGTATATGCACTCCCCTGTGCTTAGAATGCCTTCCTCCACTTCACCCACTGGAGTGAGTTATCCCTCTTTTACTCTGAAGAACCGTGGATTTGGGAAAAAGTGAAAGAGGAGTAAAATACTTAGTTATTCTGTGCTAATACTTTTTCTTGGAATAACATCCTTTGAAAGCTTCCCAGAGTGCACTGACTGCAGCGTTACATATCAAATCATGCTGAGACCCAAGACTGAAATAAAATGTTGTTCCCTCATTGCTAGACCCTGGCTGTGTCAAGCACATACTATACTGGATTACAGGGATCAGACAGGAGTGGGATTCTGGAACTGCCCAAGAAAGATGCTGATATGGTTGTTTATAGCTTGCTACCTAATGTCCTGTCAAGCGAGTAATATACAGCTATTATAGTTAACATTTCATTATTTATCATCCAGATATTAGGAAACCTAAATTTTCTTCTTGGGCAAGATATTTCCTCTTTTGGGCATCATTTGCTTCTCTGCAAAATGTGTCCAAGTTTGGACTAAATGGTCTCAAAATTCTTTCCAAGTCTAAGATTTTAGATTCTATGTATTTATAAGAGATACATTACAGAATCTTTACAGTAGTCCTTTCTGAAAGATGCTCTTCTCTGATAGTTGCCCCCACTGCCTCTCCTTCCCATCAAACTTTTAAAAAAGTAGCCTGCACACAAAAATCCTTCTTTAATGGAGATAGTATTTGAACTTCTTAGGTAAGTTAATATTTGTCCATGATTAAGTGTTAACTTAAAAATATAAGTCTCTAAGCCAAGGTACCACATCTGTTGTATCATCTACCAACTAAAATATCATTAATGTTTCTTCCATAAACAATATGACAATCTACCTTCTGAAAGAAGAGACAATAAAAAATCCTGGAAAACAAGAGCAGCACTATTATACCACAAAATAAATATTTAGGGTTCTGGAAATTTTTATCCCTAGAGATAGTAAAGACAGTGATTAATTAGTAGCTAAAATGAGAAAATCTTTGAGACTGTCTAACTAATCACAGCTATGCATCATGGGTGCTCAGCATGCTCTTCCATTTCTTTGTTTCTGAGCACCAGAGCCTAATACACTAAATTTCCTGGATCAAGGAAAACACTTTTGCAAATATAGGCAAGGTATAGAGTGGTTAAGGCCAACAGATCAGTCAGACTACTAGAGTGTGAACTCTACCATTCACCAGCTAACCAACACTCTGGAAAAACATGGATTTAGAACAGTACCTGCCTCACAGGATTACTGTCAAGATAAAATGAGATTGTTCAGGTCAAGTCCTTAGACACACCGCCAGCACTCAATAATGGTTAGCTAATAATAGTAATAATAATGGTATTGAGAACCTGTTGTGTTCCAGGCACATGTAGATGCATTGCATGTATTATTTCTATTCCTATAACAACTCTTGCAAAGTAGGTACAATTTTCATTCCATAGCTAAAGAAACAAATTCAGAGAGGGTGAGTAATCAGCCTGGGCTATGATTAGTGATAGGGACGGGGCTCACACCAAGTTTGTTGAATCTAACACACTGCCTCTCAGAATTGTTTGATGAATATAAAGAAAAATTGTGAAATAGGTTGTATTGCCTTAAGCACAAAGTGTGTATATATATATATATATATATATAAAAAATACACATACATTATATATACATATATATATAATAAATATCCTTCTGGCAGCCATTCTCAAGAGCTCCATTGTATGCTCAGAAACATTTTTGAACCAAACCAAGAGTACCTTTTTCCCCCTCAAATCTTCTGTAGTCTTCAGGTTCTAATCTTAGTATGGTCCTTAGCTAGCTGGGACTGCACCTCTCTTTCATCATCTCTGAAATAAAAATCTGAATTACAAGTCATAGGTCTTTCCCACTCTGGAATTTTTTTCCTCCTGTTGTAAAGGCATTGCTGCAAGCCATTGCTGCCATCCAGAGGAGGCCCAGAGAAGGCATTACAGTGCTATTAATTGTGGTGACAACAGCTACCATTTATTGAGTGTCTACTACGAGCCCAGCACTTCCCTGGGCATATTTCATATGTATTTCTATTCTGCAAGGCAGGATGTTTTAAAACAGAAATAAGAATTTAAAAAATTTAAATAATGTGTCCTGGATCATTCAATGAGTAACAAGTAACTGAATTTTGTTTTGAGTTTGATTTTTTTTTTTTCAGCGATGACAAGAACCAAAATACAAGTATCGTGCTTAAGGAGGCAATATGTTTGCAAATTCATCCTTTCAGCCAGAACACAGTATATGCTGCTCTACCTCCCTGGGAGGACCCTGAGTTCAGGGCCTTGCATATGGCTCTTCAGCAAGTGACACCTATTAAGCAATTAAAACTGTTACCTCTCAGGCATAACCATTATTTGTCAAGTGTAAAAAAATGCAGAGACCCAAATCTAGAGATTCTGATTCAGGGTCTGGAGTAAGGTCCATTTTAAACAAGCCCTCCAGATGATTTTGCTCATTGAGAAACCCTGTTCAATTGTGGTTTCTATAGGGCCCAGAACACAGAGTGGGTAATAGTTTCCTGACATGCATCTGGGACGTACACTAGTTACTTTTTCAAAGAATGGGCTGCCAACTTGAAGACAATATTTCTAAGCTTTACAATGTCCTTCAGTTCCAGGATGGCTTGAGGCTCCTGGATGGGAAGCTACTTTCTAGGGCAGGGGCCTTGCACTCTTATCTCAAGATTTCATATGTTGGAAAGGTATTTTACATCACTCTGAGTATACCAACCATGCCAATCATGTTGAATGGCTTCAGCTTCCACCTCACACTGACTCACCCACACCTCCTATTCAGTATTAGGCTGTTTATATGCAGGTAAGCTCACTGGACTATGATGGGCCTAGACTCACTAGTCTTGCCAAGGACTAGGACAAGTGGTTGTCACACAAGATTCTGCCTGGCAAAGACAATGGTAATTGGCTAAACAGCCAGACAGGTTCCACCCAGAATGTGGGATGGGAGACCTGAGACTGTTACCTACCAGGTAGTAAGAGATCAGAACTGATGGATTTCCTCACTCCTAGTTGCTCACACCACTGAGTGGTGCTTCCTTAGGTCCTCTGCAGAAATCACTATTGTACACATACAATCTTCTAGAAGATACTGCTGCTCATTCTCTCTGAATTCCATAACTTGAGCTTAAGCCTGGAAGGAATGGCAAGTGCCTAATACCTAGTAGCTGAAAAAATGATAGAAAGGTGCACACACAGTCTCCTATTGATTCTCAAAGCTCTTCTGACAGTGTTTTTATCTTCAGTTCCTTTTTGCATATGAGGAAACTAAAGTTCAGTAAAATGACTTGTTAGAGATCAAGGAACTAAGCAGAGGTGGAACTAAAACTTTCGATAAAAATATAACACCCAACTAGTAAATAACCCAAGTCCTCACTTCTATGGCAAAAATCCTTTAAATCATTTCCGCCCACCCCATAACATAGAGTTCAGAGCCTCACATTTCTAACTTCCTGACAGATCTTCTTGCCCCAGATTTTACCTCCAACCTACCTTCCACATCACTATCAAATTTATCTTTGCAAAATGCAAATCTGGTCACACTACTTCCCCAAGTAAGCCTAGTACATATGTGACAAAGATCCAAATGCTTAAGGTTTCAAAGCCCTCTGTGATGTGAACTTCTACTCTTGCTCTTCCAAGTCTCATCTGCATCATCAAATTCCATTCCTATCAAAAGTTTTTCCTTCCCTCACCCCATGTTTAATTTCATTATCCATTGTTAAGTTTTTCCCCAGCCATGTATGCATGTATGTAAATATATACCTAGCTAATACATTGACGTGAACACATAACACCATTTATGGTTTAAGGAATAATTAAGCAATCATACTCTTGGAACCCCGTTTAAGAACCACATTACCAAACCCCCGTTACTGTTCCTTTCAGCCTCTGTGCCTCTACACGTGCTGGAATACCCTTCTAGGCTTTAGTCAGCATAGTAAATAAATCATTTAGAACCTCAGATTCAGCTTACCTCCTCTGGAAAGGTTCCACTTACTACCTTGAGGAACACCAAAGGCTTCTGTTATACCTTCAATATGAAATTTATGTTTGCTCACATATTTGCCTTCCTGGTAAATTGAAGACAACAAATATTAAGTACATTTCATCTCCAGCAACCAGAACAAATGTTAATTATACAGTAAATATATAATTTATGAGAAAGCTCAAAAAATAGGGTGTTCATACAGCCCAGTGAGCCTGGGAGTCCTGGCTTATGCCTGTTGTCAGGAGTTATTATGGTAATGAATGTGTCCTGATTTACATGGCCAATTATATGATCACCCTATCAATAAATGTTGAATGAATTAATGGAGATTTTAACTGATAAAATCTAGACAGGAAAAGTTGATATATAAAAATTCTCAAAAATTCAACAACTGAACACTACACCTCCTTCCTCCTCCAAAGTGCTTGAAAACTTCTTGGGGACAGAGAAGGTGAGTTTGCACAAACCAGATGTCAATAACCTTTATTGCATAAATATGCTGAAACATGTTAGCATATTCCTACTTCAAGAAAACCTAAAGTATGAATTTATAGATCAGTGTGACAGAGATGATCATCTATGTTTACTACTTGATGGGAACTAGATAGTAGAGAAATTTAAAGAGCTGACTTTACCACTTGTTCAAAATTAGAAATGTAGATTAAATACTCCTCCTAAAATAACACAGTCAATGGTAACATGATTTAAAAAAATTCAACAGATGCAATTTCTAAAAGAACCTCTCTTCAGTATACACATGCATACCACCTACTTACCCCTGCTCTTTGGGAAAAATACAATCTCTTTGAGTTTGATATTATAAATAAAATTTTTATTTAAATCTTTAATTATTCAAGTAGAAAAGGTTGTTTTTAACTACAATTAAACAAAAAAAGGGAAGTGAGGTAATTTCTTGATAATAATCTTGTCTTCCTCCAACAGTATCATCTTCTTTAAAAGTAAAGGTAATTCCTTGTAAATAAGGCTTTTAATAAATTACAAATATGTAATAGGTCTTGTCCATCCTCTTCCTAACTACTTAATGCACTGTTGCATAGCAACAATTTTTTTTTCTGCTTCTTCTTTGTTGGAAGTCTGAGAGTCTGAAATCTGCATTGGCTTGGATGAGCTTGGGAATTTTTCTGGTACCAGGGGTGCAAATATCCATTGTAGAAATCAGTAGCTGTTAGTGTTTTCTTGAGCATCACTGACTGAACACCAATCCAGCCATCCTAAAGGGCAAAAGGTAAATACTGAGTAGGCAGTCGGGGCAAAACTAAGGAAATTTTAGTTTATAAAATGTTTATTGTGAAAACAAGCCAACCAACAAATCACTGCTAAATGTCAAGCTACAAATAGCACTATACTAAGCAACATATGATACTTAGACTTTAAAATTCTATTACCAGGAATGATAACAAATACATCAAACTGTTAAGTCTGTCTGAGCCTAGAGAGCAGAAATTAAAAGGTACATCATATTTGCATGGTGCTTTATAGTTTTTAGAGTACGTCCATGCATTTTATTATAACTGGCTGTCAAAACATAACCACTCTAAAAGGCAGGGAGATCCAATATCACCTCCATTATAGAAAACTGATGCCCAGAGAAGATTAGTGATTTTGTGCGGTAACACAATTGGTGGGACTCAAACTCACATGCTCAGACAATCCCAACTTCCTCTATAACAGCAAACTACAGACTTGCAATACAGATATATAGACCCCAACAAGCACAGCAAGACATAGGCATCAGTACTCTTCTAGGGCAGCTTGATGCAGGGGTTTTGTATCTAGAGTCTGTGTGTGTCAGATCAATCTATCATATACTTTAAGCACCATTCTTGAACATGAGACAGGTTACATAAACACCTTATGAAGGAAAATACCCACAAAATGGAAGGAATGTGGAACACTTTTCAGGAATATGCCATTGTCTTTTAAAATAATAATGATTCCAAAGTCATTTTAAATAGTCAAGAAATCTTTCTAACCATGACTGAACAGTATAAGCAAGTAAGATACATGAACTGTAGTAGCTGAACCAGATTTTCAACAAAGCTATCTTGTGATAGTCCTATTAAGAAGATGACTTATTAAACATGAAAACAAGTAAATTTTCTTTTAAGAAAGCACTAAAGTTACTAAATCTTCTTGCATTCTTTCAATAATAATGCCTTGGCAAAACTTCATTACTTTTAAAAAGTTATGCTAGAGATTCTATTTCCTAAGATAAGGCTCAATCTGATGCCCAAGAGGTTGAGTAAAATCCTAACTGAAAATGATAAATAATACAAACTATAAACTCAGTAAAGCAAATATGATACTTTGAAATTTAAGGAAATGGTACCTTGCAACAAACCAGCAGCATTTGTGACTGTTTGTGGTATATTACTGATCCTGGAAAAACAGCCTGTCCTATTAATTTCTGATCTAAAGAATGGAGGAAGAAATGATATGTGAGAGAGAATAAATAATTATGCAATGTTGTGATGTTTCTAAAAATTCAAAATGCATCTTGGGAGGCAGTACACAGGCAGATGTGGCGAGGACACATCTGCTGATGCCTTGACTTATAATCCAAAGCTTATGATGGAACCATGGTGCTGTGTCTATCTTGAATCCAAAAGAGTAGCTTTCCATGTTCATAAAAAGCTATGAGTCATTTACTCAGTCTCTCTGAAATCGACCTGAAATGTTGAGTCTAGAAGTTTTGACTGCTTTTGGGACCATTCTGGGAATCTACCAATGGAAAGAGATGAGGGGCTCAGGATCTAAGCTGGCCCTTTCACCCCCCGCCAGAGTCTTAATTCTGACTCTCTCTGAATCAGACCAACTCCCTCTGTGGTTCATAACCTTCAGGCCACCACTTTGGAAGGGTACTGATGGTCTTGGAAAAGACCTGTGTGGTGAAATGCTACACCCTGGCCTAAGATGCTCCTGGGTTTTCATTGTTATTCACCAGAATCACATCAACAAAGTCATTTTGCACTCCTTGAAAACCTTAACGCAGGAAATCACAGAGCTTAAAAAGGAACAGTAACACTGCTTTGCCTACCTCCCAGGTTTTTATGATGATTAAACAAGAAAATATATTAGTGGACACTGCAAAAAAGAGAATAAATTAATTCTTGAACTGAAACAAACCAAAAGAATCTCTATTTTTAGTAAATGTGACCTATGGTAAAAGGGACATATTTTCAAATGGTCTATAGTGAAAATATTTTCATTGTCATCTATTCAAAAGTTCATACCAGTGAGGACTGAACCACTAACTTCTACTAAATCCATAAGTTTAATGGTATTATCCATCCAGAGTGTCTGCAATGGAATCTGCCAAAAAAAAAAAAAAAATAAAGAAGATATGATAAAGGAATACACTCAGTGCCAGACCCATTTAACTATGATTTTGTGTCAATCTTTAAATTATTTTGCCCACCTGTATCCCTTGCAGGTCCTTGTCCCTCTCCCTCCCATCCTCAGAGCCCTAAGTATTTATTATTATCTGCTAGTTTTTTTTGTACATTTTTTACTTTATCAAGTCACCTACTACACGAATGTCCACTATTTTATTGTTGTAACTTGCTTTACTACACATAATTCTTTCAGACTCCCTCCATTTTGATGAAAATGGCTGAATTCCACCTTTACTTATGCCTGAATAGTATTCCACAGTGTGTAGATACACCATATCTTCTTGAGCCAATTGTCTACCCCAGCTCTTGTATTTATAAATAAATCTTTAAAAAAAAATTTAAACACTATTTGAAGAACAATGTTTAGATCTTTGTTAATATTTCTAATTAAAAATTTAGTTTCATAATACCGGATGGTCTCACTCATAGCAGGAATCTAGAAAACTTAAATAAGGGACCAGGAAAAAGAATAACTATAAGAAAGTAAAAATCAAAATCAACAAAAAACTATGAACCAGAGACACTTTTTGGGGGGTGGGGGTGGGAGGGGAGGGATTGGGCTCAAAATGGGGGGGTTGCAATTGTATGGGGAATATAAAAATAAAATCTATTATTTAAAAAAAAATAAATAAATAAAAATAAACCTTTAAAAAAAACTTAGTTTCATTATAAAAAGTACAAGCATTAGAACAATTATATCCATGTTACTGAGAGGTAACCACTGTTAACAGATGTGTATTTCCCTGCATTTCTTTTTCAACAAATATTACTACAAAAATCTAGAACACCTAGTTTTCTCATTTTCAGGTCAGAGCTCTTTTTATAACATTCCTTAAAGAGGACATTTAATTTTTAGAGGAGTCAGATTGTGTAGAAGGTTTGAACATTGAATCTATGAACTAAATAAATTTGAAGTTCATAGGTGTTCATTAGCTCACATTTTGACACTATCCTTTTTTATAATAAGGATTATAAATAAGTTCCCAATAAGTTATGAAACGATTTTCATGTGTAACTTTTTTCTTTCATAGAACTTGAAATACTTTTGAAACATGCTTTTTGACTAAAAAAGATTTACTGAATTATAAAAATGCAAGGTATATAATCAGAGTCATCAGAGCATTGCAGAAAAGAGGATGGATAAGAAGATAGTTATTTCGGTATCCTCCATCATTAGTGTCAAAATCATATGTTTACACTGATTTAAATTGCGTTTTTTGATTTTGAAAGATAGTAACATGGTCATTAACCCCATTTTAGAGGTTAAAAAAAAAAACAGAAGCTCAGAGAGAAGATAAGTGTCTTATTCTTGGTTAGTAAATGGCAGCTCTAGGAATCAGATCTTATCTTCTGGCTCCAAGATAAGTATTTATTCACTTGTTCTGTGTTACAAGTTTTTTGCAATGGAGAGGAAAAGTGAATTGTGTAAGATAAGAATCATTGTGTAAGTGACAACGTAATCAGTTTAATTTTCTGAGGAACTTTAAGCTTTCATAATGGCTATACCAATTTACATTCCCACCAACAATATATGAGGGCTCCAAATTCTTTTTTTTTATAAAGATTTATTTTTATTTATGCATACAAGAACTGGGGTGTAGGCCAGAGGTACAGGGGTTGAGAGAACTCATCAGAGACAGAGTAGGGAGCAGAACAGGCAGATCTACTGAAATACACTGCTGAGGGGAACAGTGGGCGAGGCAGGGGAGGTCTGCTGTGCCATGTGGGTATCTCTCTGGCTGGGGAGCGAACTCATGCTGCAGTGGCTGGTGATAGTTTGATAGAGTTGAGACTTTAACCCCTCCACTACCAGGGAGGCCCTCCAAATTCTTTTGATTGTGAATATACAGTTGTCTAGCACCATGTGGTGAAAAGCTATTTTTTCCCCATCAAATTGTCTTAGTGATCTTATCAAAAATTAATTGACCATAAATGTATGGATTTATTTCTGGACTCCCAATTCTGTCCCATTGAACCCTGTATCTATATTTGTGTTCATATCACACTGTCTTGATAACTAGAGCTTTGTATTAGTTTTGAAATCAGAAAAAGTGAGTTCTCCAACTTTTTTTTTTCTTAAGATTCTTTGGCTATTCTGGGCCTCTTGGGAGTCCATATACATTTCTAATCAGCTTGCCAATTTCTGCAAAGAAGTCAATGGGATTCTTTTTTTATATAGAAAATGAGTTGCATTTGAATATCAATTTGGAGAATAGTACCATTTAACAATACTAAGTCTTCCAATCCAATCCAAAGAACACAGAGGTCTTTTCATTTACTTAGATATTCTTTACTGTTTATTAGCTCCAATAGATTGGGGTGGGGGAGGTATTCTTTATGATTTTTCTCTATATAAGATCACACTGTCTGCAATTACAGTTTTATTTCTCCCTTTCAAATTTGGTTACCTTTTGTTTCCTTTACTTGCCCAAATGCCCTGGCTATTATCTCCAGTACAATGTTGAACAAAAGTGGTGAGAATAGACACCTTTGTCTTGATTCTGATTTTAGGAGGAAGCCTTTCAGTCTTTCACCATTAAATATGATGTTAGCTATCAGGTTTTTACAGATACTTTATCAGGTTGAGGAAGTTTCCTTCACTTCTTAGTTCACTGAATATTTTTACCATGGATGGATGGTGGCTTTTGTCAAATGCTTTTTCTGCATCTATTGAGACAATTATATGGCTCTTGTCCTTTACTTTACTAATATTGTGTATGACACTGATTGATTTATTTTCATTATTTACTGATCAGACATCCCAAAATTAGTCACTTCATTTTCATTCCCCTCCTCTTTCAGATGGGATAATGTAACTTGGTAATGGACACTAAAAAATATATATTTGAAAGTGCTTTTAAATTCTATGGCCCTGGGCCTCCCCGGTGGCGCAGTGGTTGAGCGCTGGGTTGCAAAGCTGCCCGCAGCCTCTGCAGCACCGGTTTATTCCTTGGCCATCAGGCAAGGGTCCCACATGGCACACAGACCTCTCCTGCCGCCCACTGCTCCCCTCAACAGTGTACTTCGTCAGTCTGCCTGTTCTGCTCCCTGCTCTGGCTCTGGCAAATTCTCTCACCCTCCTGTGCTTCTGACTGTACCCAGTGCTTGTATAAATAAATAAATAAATCTTTCAAAATAAATAAATAAATAAATTCTATGGCCCTTATAGAAATGTTTGAAGAATATTTTAAAATTTTCAGATACAAAGAAGAACTGAGAACAGGGACTCAAATGGGTTTTTATACACTAATTTTCACAGCAGCACTATTCACAACAGTCAAAAGGTGGAAACATCCTAAACCTCTATCGAAAGATGAATGGGCAAGTGATGGTATAAACATGAGATGGAGTAGCACTTACAGAGGAATGACATTCCGATGCATGGTACAGTACAGATGAACCTTAGAGATACTATGCTTAGTGAGATAAGCAGAGACAAAAGGACAAGTATTGTGTGATACCACTTATATGAAATACCTAGAATAGGCAAATGTATACAAAAAACACAAAGCAGGATACAGACATTACCAGGGACCATGCAAGGGAGGCATAGGGGAGTTAGTGTTTGATGGGTACAGAGTTTCAATGTGAGATGATAAAAAGTTCTAGAGATGGTTAGCGGTAATGACTGCACAGTATTGTGAATGTACTTAATGCAAATGAACTATATACTTAAAGATGTCTAAGGTAAATTTTATATTATGTATATTTTACTACAATAAAAATTTTTAAAAATGATTTTTTGGATTCCGAGGCTTAATTTATGAGATTCATTCCTAAATAAAAATATTTTGAAAGTGACTTAGATGCATGTACTTAAGTAAAAGTGAAATTGATCTCCAACTTACTATATTTCCAATGGCACGATAAAGTCTCAGTATTTGCTCTGAAGTTTGTTCCTCCCACTTTATACAGCTGGTACCAGCAGAAATCTTAGGGGCTGCAAGACAAATGCAATAGCAAGAATGTCTACCAGGTTTAGTGTTCATGAAATGATAACTTGATGCTGAATGACAGATATAAGAGAATTCACTAAATTATTTTCTCAACTTGTGTAGGTTTGAAAATTTCCATAATTTAAGATAAAAATCAGTAAGTAGAAGAAAACATGGGTGAATGTCTTTATAACCTAGAAGTAGAAAAGTCCTTTTAACTATGATTCAAAATCCAGAGGCAATTAAAGAATGGTAAATATGACTATATAAAACTGTTTTGCAAGACAAAAAAGCCATAAGTAAAAAAACAAACAAGTGATAAACCAAAAGTATTTTCAATTTATATCATAGCACTTTATGTAGACAGTCTATAAGATATAATAATTATATAATAAATTAAATAAAAATGTATATATAATTATATATTTAACTATTATAAAAAAGACAAGGGACATTTCTTCCTATGGGCAGGAAATGATTTCCAGGATACACTGTTAAGTGAACAAAGAAAGGTACAGATAAGTTTATCTTTTATTGCACCTTTTGTGGGGGAGTGAGTAGGGGAAAGGGAAAAATTAATTAAAATATATGTATTTTGTTTACTTTGATCAAAGAAAACAACTGGAAAGCTAAATCAGAAACTAATTAAAAGTCACCTATAGAACACTGGTCCATGATTTGCGAGATTGGGATGTGAGATTTCTCTGAGTATCCTTTCAAAGAGTTTTAACTTTTGAATCATGAACATAACAGTCCAACTACATACCCATAGTAGGATATAGTCTAAGGACAAACAAAACTCTCAAATCTTATTTAATAGTCTTACTGTTTGTAGAAGTGTTGGTAGTATACATTTTGAAACTATTTTATGCATGGCAAACAGTTTAGTTTTTATTTAAAAAAATATATTCCGCATAAAAGAAAATAAAGGAAACCCCTGCAATTTAAAATTAGAATCAAAAAACAGTATGACCACAAGTGTTCTTTAAAGATACAATGCCTAGCCGTGTCCACTGTCACCTCATCTTAGAACACACTGTTGTGCTGGATGGTTTCTAAAAACCAACCTCTACAATGAATGGGGTAGGGAGATGGCTGACTCCAATGTGGGGCAGAGGATTTACAAAGTGAGGCTGGGACATCTTTTTAAACAACAACAACAACAAAAAAAAAAAACCACAAGAAAAGCTGAACACCCTGCAAGGGAGAGCAGAGGGCGAGATGGGAGAGGTTATCTGCCAAGGTTGGGACATCTTGAGATGGAAAATAAGGAAGCACTCAAAAGCTAGTTGAGGAGTAGGGGGTAGTGTTAGAAGCATGCAGGAGCCAACTTTAAGGGGCTCCTAATGCCAAATTTGGGACAACTTGGGTAGCACAGAAATTTATAAATGTAATTAATGGTGAAGCACAATAAATTAAAATGTTTGAGTCAAATAATTAAAAAACCTGTTTGCCATCATAAGTGAAGGCAATTGTGGCATCAACTCCTTATAACAAAACTGTTAATCAGAGAAAGAATTAGGCTCTTCTCCTGCCATTCTAAGATGAATTAAAGTTCATCCAAATTAATGAGAAAAAGCTCATTATTTACAGAATAATGCCAAATATTAAATGTAAATGGATCTGGAAAAAATCACCATTTTTATAATCCCTATTGGAATAATTCCTTCAGGGATAGGGAGTCAATTTGTCCTGAAATTATTATGCAAAATGTGGCTAGAGAACCAGATATTTGCACAGAGTATTACCCCACAGATTACCTGCTAATTGCCAAAAAGAAAAATGAATTTTTACACTGGAAAAATCTGGTGGTTACCACCTCAACCAAGTGATCAAATTTCACATGGCTAGCCTGTATAGTACTGAAATGATGTCCCTAGACTGGTGGAGACAGAGGAGAGACTTCTCTGAGTTTATACTTTTGAATAGTTTTAGCTTTTGAATCATGTAAATGTCTTACATATTCAATAAATAAAATTAAATCACAAATAAAACTGAAAACAATCCTTAAAATTAAAAACAAGCTAAACCAAATCTCATTGGTATACAGCATTACCTATGAATTTCTCTTTTCAAAAACTTGAACCTTGCATCTAATTGAGTTTTTATAAAAACTTCCAATTTACAGGAAAAGTAAAGGTTAGAAAATCAAGTTAAACAATACTGGGAGGAAACAGATAAAAAGCCAATGACATGGAAGGAAAAAAAATAGTGGAGGAATTACTCTAGATTAAAGAGACTAAAAAGACATAAAAACTAAATATAATTGGGTCCTAGTTTGAGAAAATACGCAACTATAAAGTCATGTTTTTAGACAATTAGGAAAATTTAAATATGTGCTGGCTATTAGATGATATTAGAAAACTGTTCATTTTTCTTAGGCGATCCATGCTGAAGTATTTAGGGATGAGAGATCATGATGTCTACTCCCAAGTAGTTGAGCAGAAATTAAAGTATATATACTACAAAATACATATACATATATAAAGATAGAAAAAAAATGAGGCCAAACGTTAATTTTTCACTCTGGGTTGAATAGGTAGTTACTATCTTTCAACTTATCTCTGTATTTAGTACTTTCCAAAATGAAAGAAAAAGGGGAAAAAATTCCAACCTTTCATGAAGCTACATGTTAAGAGGGAAGGGAGATCTTACCAACCCTTCCTTAGAAAAGGACACACAAAGTGGGCACTCAATCTAGACAGAATTACAGTGAGGAAGTCAGAGTGCTCAGATGCCATCACAACAAACAAAACCTAATGAAAGATGTGAGTCTGCAGGCATCACTCACCATGTGTCACCCCCTCAGCTGGCTGTTGTCTTCCACTGTTCAAACTTTCAGGCAAATTTTTCAAAACTGAAATAAGCTTTTAAAAAAAGGAAAAAAAAAAAAAAAGAGACAGAGCAATGTATTCAAGATGAACAGAACAAAAGCAGAAATATATTATAATTCACTGTCATGAAATTTATAGTTTTCAAAGAGCTGTAGGGCAGGTAAGGTAGTATGCTAATTGCCTTAAACTGCACAAGCTTCCAGTATGCAGATGGCAGATATTTAGATATCCACTCTCTCACTCTGCAGGTGGGAAGCAGTGGAGCCTCCCAGAAAGGAGAATATTTCTCAATTCACAATTCTAGGTTCAAATCCCAGTTCCACCACCTACAAGCTGTGTGTGTGTTAAGAGTCATTTTACTTGTCAGTGCCCTTCAGTGGTTTACAGTCACAGGTGTAAGACAAGTGACAGCAACAGCTACCTCAAGGTTTGTTGGGAAGATTAAAAAAAACAATCAGTCTATAGAGTATCTAAAACAGATAGCCAGTATTCAATAAATGACAGTTACCATTATAACAGTTTTTTTCCTGAGGTGAATGACCATTTATGTATTGAGGGAAAAAGTTTTCCTGTATACAGGGTGGTAGACTATGGGTTCTTTGGTGGTGGGTGCACCAAGGTAACAATACCTGAAGGGGCACTGTACACTTCTATTATGGAAACAACAACGTAAACCAATATGAACTCAATAAAATATATTTAAAAATCTTTCCTCTATAGAAAATTAATATTTCATATGAAAATAATTAATTTGGTCAGTGATCATTTACTCAGACTCTACTGTGTGCTGAATCAATGAGCTATACAAGACTATATAGTTCATTTATAGCTAGGAGGGTCAGCAGGATCCAGTGCTTATGGATGCAAATGACAGGAACTCAGGCACAGAAGTGGGAGCTAAGAATTACTTAGGAAATGCTGTTGGTTAGGCAAACTTTACATCAAGCTAGGGATGTAAGGAGAGTAACACTGCAGTCTAAAGTCTTTGTTGTGAAAAGCAGTGGCCCATATAATATCACATGCTTCATTTGAAAGCTTTCATTGAGTACCCACTTTGTGTAAATTCTCAAAGATTTACATGAGATTATAAATGCCAAACTAATTTTTAGGAAGCCAGGGATAGAAGTCACTTTCTTTTTTTAAAAAAGCTTAAAATTATACATCATAAAAAAACCATTTCATCATAACCACTAAGGACACTGAGTAAATGAATAAAAAGCAGTGGGATATTGGAGCACTGTACCATGTTTGCACCCAGTCTTGACAGCACTGCTTCTAATTCCTTTGAGGTACTCTTGGGTGGCACAGGAACCATTTCCTGTTTGAGAATTGGGCCTACATCAAACCTACAAAAAAATCATAAGCAAATAATATCATTACTATTTCTTAAGATCAATGTTTGTGCACATAGGTATCTCACACACACACACACACACACACACACACACACACACACACACACACAGAGACACACACACAATTTGACTTTTAGTTACTAGCAAGGGAGAAAAATCAGCCTGAAAAAAATGGAGAGCAAAATTTGGCCTGTACTTAGATTTTAAATTTATTCTTTTCCTAGAGGAAAAAAGTACAAATAAATATATTGGGGATTTGACTGCAATTACAAATAATTCTATTATTAGTAATAAATAGTATAAAATTTTCCTATTTATATAATGAAAGCACACAGCAGACAATTTGTTTTCCAAGGAAGTATAAGTAGGAAATTCATAATTATTTCTTCCTACATTTCCTTTTTTCAAAGGACCAGACTTTTGCTTGGATTATAATCATTGCTGATTATAAGTAGGTACAAGTGTATTTATATTCCTACATGTCTAAAATTTTTACATCAATCTTTTTAAACACTGGCCATCAGCTATTGGCAGAAATATGCTTTGCTTTAAATATTTAACTTTGTAGTTTGTTAATTTTATTTTTATGCTATGAGCTTTAATAAAATTTTTATTAAGGAAAATTACATTAAAAAGAATGACCAGTTTAATGAATCACCATATAAACATCACCCAGATTTTTAGTTTTGCCACTCTTGGTTCATCTTGTACTTTTTTTCTGAAGTTAAAGCAAATCCCAGATATTGACCTATTCCTATGCACTTGTGAATTATTCTTTTTATTAGAACCCCAGGTGATAACAGGCAGAGACAATATACTCCTGAAGCAATTTTAAATAAGTTTCTTAGTTTGTAGGTATACTTAAAAAAATTAAATGTCTGAGACAATTATATTATACATTGGTATACAATGTACTCTGTTTTTTTTTAAGGGCAGGAAATCTTTTTTTTTTTTTTTAAAGATTTATTTATTTATTTATACAAGCACTGGGTACAGTCAGAAGCGCGGGAGGGTGAGAGAATTCACCAGAGCCAGAGCAGGAACAGAACAGGCAGATTGATGAAGAAATACACTGCTGAGGGGAGCAGCGGGCGCAGCAGGCGAGGTCTGTCATGCCATGTGGGACTCTCACCGGCGGCCAGGGATCGAACAGGCACTGCAAAAGCTGCGGGCAGCTTCGCAGCCCAGTGCTCAACCGCTGCACCACCAGGGGAGGCCCTACAATGTATTCTTACTTCAGGTCTCAAAAATTCACCATAGAAACTAGAGTTAGCAGAACCAAGATTCATGACAACTATGATGCAAAAATTCACCTCTCGTTTACATAATATCTTTTTACTTATTTTTATTTATTTATTTATTTATTTATTTATTTTATTTATACAAGAGCTGGAGTACAGGCCAGAGGCGTGGGAGGGTGAGAGGATTCACCAGAGAAAGCAGGGTACAGAACAGGCAGACGATCAAAAACACTGTTGAGGGGCACAGCAGGCGAGACAGGAGAGGTCTGCTGCGCCACTGGTACCTCCCTGGCCACTGGGAATCGAACCCATGCTGCAGAGGTTGTGGACAGCCCCACAGCACTGTGCTCAACCTGCTGCACCACCAGGGAGGCCTACATACTATCTTTTATAGAAATCCAGTTGCTAGTTATCAAGTTAGTATAATCAACCAATTAAACATTTCACAAGGCTTTAGAAAGATGCATAAATACCAAAAACACAGAATTTTTATGTGAGAAACCAGGAAAACAGAGGGTACCATAGCAGAGGAAGCCCTTGGAGTCAGTTTCATTCATCCATTCTCAAACAGATTGATCTCAACATTCAAAATCATTACCAAAAGAAAGTCAAGAAAATGTTCTACCTTTTAGGTCTGATCTGCATAATGGTCACTCCAGTAACCGTGTCTCCGTGAAGAACAGTATGGATTATGGGTGCTGGACCACGCCACCTTGGGAGGCAACTGGGATGGACATTCAATATGCCACTGAGTTAGAAAAGGCAGAAATTAGTATGCAAGTGGGTTTTACCATTTAGTTACTGCTACTTAAACTAATATGCTACTTTCATCATTAAAATTTTCCAGAAATTTTGAAAAAATAACAAATCTAGTCTTGGACCACCTGAAAAGGAAGCCAGAGCTAAGTTCACTTTCTTACCTTGAGACCAATGAAACTCAGTTAATGAAAGACAAGACAAGAACAACTATTCATTGTTTCAGAGATGTTTCACAGCAGCTCAAGATGTCTGTGAGTTTTTAAATAAAAGCAAAATTACCATTTTTTACTATATAAGAACCACATAAACTCTACCATTGTTTCAAAAATGTTTCACAGCAGCTCAAGATGTCTGTGAGTTTTTAAATAAAAGCAAAATTACCATTTTTTAGTATATAAGAACCACATAAACTCTACCATGCATCTTACAATGTGAATTATATTTATTATTTAGTCACAAAATTACCCTAAGTTTGCATACAGAATGCATAAAAAAAACTTCTTGAATTTCTATCAAATAACCTATTTACTTTTGCTGTTTATCCCAATATACCTATCACCCACTGATGAGCTATTTAATTTACTAATCTGTAATTAGTTTAATGATGTCCCCATCAGCATGAGTATACACTTAAGGGTGTGAGTACATGAGAGTCTTATATTTTAAGTTTCACTGTTTAGTCCAGTCTCATTCATCCAACAAACACTTACTGAGCACAATCCATGTGCTGGCACTGTTCTAAGTGCTGGAGACACAAACAATTGAATAAAACAGAAAAAAATCTCCCCTGCCTGAGGGGAGCTCATGCGCAAAAAGTGGGAGATAAGCAATAAAAAACAAACTATGTATAAAGTCTGTCAGATGATGCTCAGTTCTATGGAGAAAAATAAAGCAGAGAAGGGGACAGGTGTACTGGGTAGGAGATTACAATCTTAATTGTGGTCAAGGACAACAAAACACTCGAGTAAAGAAATGAGGAGGTCAGGGAATAAGTCATACAGATATTTGGGAGAAAAGCTTTCCAGATAGAAGGATCGTAAGCACAAAGGACTTCATGAAGGTGAATGCTTGGCAAGTTCAGGCACATCAGTGAGGCCAGTATGGCTGGAATTGAGTGAACCAAAGGGAGAGGACCAGGAGACAGTAGAGAGCCAGCAGGGAACCAAACCCAGGAGGCAGGTCCTCTTTGGTCATTACAAGAACTTTAATTTTTATTGTGAGTGAGAAAGAAATCTCTAGAGAATTTTGAACAAAGTGACACAGTTCAACTTATGAACAGATTTTGAACAGGACATCCTGATGAACTAAATGACTCCCAGCAATTGTTAGGCTGAAATTTACTGAAATGAAGATTTTGGGACGAGCAGACCTAGGCTGAAAAATTCAGGAATGCACTTTTGGATGGCTTAAATGTAGTTTGGGTAGATAGCTGAACTAGAGGGACAGATTTTGGATTGTCAGCATATAGGTGAAATTTAAATGAGGGTGGATAAAAGCTCATAGACAGTGATAACCAAGGAAGTCATATTTTTCTTTTTAAAGAGAACATACTAAAGAAAACAATGAGTTTAAGTTATTGCACTTTCTATACCATGTTCATTTATAAAGACTAAGGTTTCAATAATGTATTTCCTTATAAATTAAACTTACTAAGGAAATTTAAGAATAAGCGCCTCACTCAGAAGTCGGCCAAATGAAGCTACCACGCCAACATCATATTCTCCAGATCCCACATCTGGCCACTCATACACCGGAAACTGAGACTGGACAGCGTATTGCTTCACTGGCAGTCCTTTTGGTGATAGGGAGGGCACTGTGACCACCTCCAATTTTTCAATTAACTTTTCCTCTTTGTTTTCCCTAAGATTAGAAGAAAATGTGAGTGTTAAGGCAATAACTCAAAGCTAAAATAACATCTACAAGGCATTTTTATGCTTAAACTCCTAAAGCATTTAAATTTAAAAGACTGAAACTAGTGGAACTGAGAGACTGAATTTTTATTTATTTAATTTTAATTATTTTAAGTGTAAAGAGACACATGTAGCAAATATCTACTGTTTGGACAGCATGTTTCTAGAGATTTCCTGTGCATACAGAACCAAACCAGGAAGGTACAACTGCACAATTGGGATATCATATATACTCATCTGCATTTTCCTCCTAGTGCTATATATGCTACTATGTGTCTTTTTAAAAAATGGGTTAAAAAAATATACTTATGCCTATATGTGCACAGAACACTTCACAGAAATAAGAAACCAAAAACAGTATCTCTGAAGAGAAGAAATGGGAAACAGGTGGAAAAAACTGACTTTTCACTGTACTTCCTTTGAATCTTTTGAATTCTGTACCATAACCATTTGTTATTCAAGCAATGACTATTAAAATAACAAGAAACAAAAACAGATACCTTGGGGATAATTCCATGACAATACAGCACATATAGCATTACCTTTTCTTTTTATCTGCTGCATAATATTCCACTACTCAGCAACTGTTCATTTATTTTGAAGGTATTGCATGCATATGCTGAGAAAAGGAGTACACAGGAGTAAAAGGAGTATATAGGAGAAAGTACAAGAGTAATGGAGCTGCCAAGTGAAGTATCATCAGAAGGGTAAGGATATAGGATGAGAGATTTAAGGCAATGTGCAGTAAGTACAGCTTGTCGAGAGTGCGTTATGGAGGGTGTGCTAAAGGGAACTCATGTATAAGGAGTGTTTCAGAGTGTGTGTACTGAGGGAGGAATATGATACACGGGGAGTGATGAGAAAGTCTTGACGATGACAGAAATAAGTTTGCATGTGGAGTGCTTCAGGCAGAAAAATGCAGTGGGTAAATAAAAAACAGAGGTTGGGGGAAAGGAAGCAGAATGGTATACACAGGTACAGCCACTATCTATGTACCCTGGCCTTTCAGGACAGGTGAAAGCACTAGTAATTTTCCCCCAACAAACAAGATTTGTTAAATTTTAAGAACACTAAACATGTACCTAAGAGTTCTGATTTCTAAATTTATTCATCTGAACAGCCGTTTTGGACTTTGATCTTATTTCTGCTGCAGAAAAATAGATCCCGTGGTAAACACGGAGGAGATGGGGAGCGAAGAAGTGAGAGGTGGTGGGTATGCAGACAAGATGCACGTGCCCGGTAAGAGGAAACCCAAAGGATTAGAGTGTACAAATCACACCTATAGGAGGCGAGGAGTAAGTGGCAAGGGGAGGGCTCTGGAGTCGGAACCCGTTTTAGACCCAAACAACTCAGCTGATGACCTTGGTCAACCGCTTAACCTTTCCGAACTCCGGTTTCCCTACAGGCAAACCCTGCAGGGAGGCAACGAAATGGACGCAGGTGATGCGTGCAGAGCGGCTAGCACAGTCCTGGCCCCGCAGGCTGCAGGTGACGCTGGAACATGCAGGGCCCGGAGCGGGGTGCGCAGACAGGACCCGACCAGCGGGCGCCGCGTGCTTTCCGGGCGCCGGGAGCTCTGGGCCCACACCCCGCCGGCGCCGGCGCCGCTGCTCTCGCCGACCCGAAGCCCGAGCTTTGGGCTCAGCCGCGGCCGCCAGGCCCCCCTCGCCCGGGCCCGGTACCTGGCGGCGTGCAGCGCCCGCAGCGTCTCGCGGGCGAAATGGTCTGTGCCGAAGAAAAGCACTCGCCAGGGCGGCTTCTCGCGGACGCGGGCGCCCCGGCCATCCTCCCCGCCAGATGACCGGCCGAGACCGGCCAGCGCCAGCCACTGGGGGCCCGGCCTCCCGCCCGCGCCGCCGACCGCCGGCCGCGTCCCCCAGCAGCGCCGCACCAGCGTCCGCATCACCGCAGGCGGCGGCCTCCACTGCGCAGGCGCGTCGCAGGGCTGACTGGCGTAGCTAGGCCGGAGGGGCGGGGCCGGGGAAGGAGCAGTGGGCGGGGCTTCCAGTGACAGTGGGCGGGGCCTGCTGATGGGAGGCGTGGCCCGCTTGTGGGCCCTGAGGAAGAAATTTGCTAGTTTAAGCGTCCGGGTGAATTTTGCTTTTGTTTGTACGATTTAGTCAATCTCCCGAAAGAACTCTTCTGGGAACAAATCATAATTTTCGTGGCAATGAAATATCATTTATTTACATAATTCAGTGTCATTTTTCTCAGCTATTATAATTAATATTTACTGTAGACCATACTTTAACAAAGCATTTTATATCCATTATTTCAGTTAACCCTTCTGTCAAGGTAGTTATTGTTACAACCATTTTACTGAAGAGATTCCGAGACTCAATGTAGTTAAGGGCATTCCCTATCTGAGGTTCTCACTGCTAGTTTATATAGCTCCAAAGCCTGGGATCATAACCATTTGGTCTATTTGCAGCAACTGAGGAAGCTGAGGCTCAGTTATTTGCTCTAGTCATTCCGGTAAATTGCAGTCACCACTCTTGCTCCTACCCTCACACCAAGGGATACCATAGAGGATATTCTTAGAGAAAATGGGTAGGAGAAGCTGTCCCAAGAAAACCTCTAAGGACTTTGGAGCTTAGACTCTATATACCTGAAGCCCATGCAGTGGCCTTCTCCTTGAGTGTCATTACATGTCCTGACTATGGAGGGGAGACCAGATTCCTCTGTAGTCACTCTCACCAACTTTCCTCACCACAAGTCTTAGACCCACTGACCCTGGAGCAGTCCTTTTTCCTAAACATGAGATCTGCATATCCTTGCTTCCATGTCTTTGATATTCATTTTCTAATACCAAGTTTACACATCTTCCCTGAAGCTTCAAGCTCTTGCATGCATGGCCTTTATATCTTTCTTCATGGGCTCTGTGGGGGTGACTGCTTCTCACACAGTTTGAAATTGTTGAGGGAAGTTGTCTAATGTGTAGATATTGATTCATTTACTTGTGTGCAAAAGTAAAAGCAAAAAGAGAAAGACCACATTTCCAGGGATTCTGCTTTTCTGATGGATCACATATGAGAAGAGTTAGATGGGATCCTAAGGCTTCTATTCTTTCAATTGAGTTCTGTTCCACTCTTAGAGTAAGTGCAGTATGATTCTAGTATTTAATATATGGTCTTTCCTCATACATCATCTATAAATATGATGCATATAGTTATTTAGGTTTTTGCCTTAGGATCTGATCTCTGTCTGAAGTGTGACCCTTTATATTTGTATTTATATAATATCTCTGCTTGAGAACCTGCCTTTTGCTGCATTTAATTTCCGATAGCCAATTGTCCACGGGAAGCCCTGTACCCCAGAGCTGCCTTGTGTCCTTCACAGCGCCCGCTGCTGGTCACATAGAGACAGCTCAGATTGAGGAGCCGAGGCCAATCTGTTTTCTTTCTTCCAGAGAGCTGTGCTCCTACAATTGGCGTTTAATTTCCCTAGAGCATGGTCTTTTGATTTGCATCAGACTTCTTTAAAAAAAGGGGGGGAGATAGGGGAGCATGGTATTGTATTGGCTGAAGTTTTCCTCTAAGTTAGGGATGTATGGGAGGGAGGGCCTTCTTCCTAGCCCTGGTAAATCTACTTTTGGAACTACACAAAGATCAGGACACCTGCCCCAAGCAGCAAGAGATTTTAGGTAATAAATTAAGACATCTGGAAAGCACATCAAGGGGTAACTGAGCTATAATAGGATCAAGATAACATTAATTCAGCCGGTCCTCCAGTTTCCAGAAATTTCTCTTCCTTGCTGAATGGAGGGTGTGTGCACGCTGAATCAATGTAATCTGAGTCTGGGTGATGAGATACTATCATTGACAGAGAGAACTGATCTTGGCAACCACAACGTTTTAGCTTTGAATGCTTTTAAACTGAAGTGATGAGATGAGATGCTTGGTAGAAAACTGGAATGTGTCATTGAGTTCTATGACTGAAGGATGGAAGAGTTGATCCAGGAGTTGAAGAAAGCAGGACATTTCTGCGCTCACTGTTATCATCATACCACGCTAGCCTAACCGTGTCAGTCATTTGGGATTGAGTGAAAAGGGAGGAACGGCCAGGGCCCTGGGAAAGATGGAGCAAGAGCACAAGGAGGAAAGTCGTCAGAGCTCTGTTGACTGGTTCCTGGATCCACAAAAACACCTGTATGTGGTCTGGGAGACATGCCACCTGTCTCCAGTGGAGTCAGCCACGCATTGACTTTGCTCCGGTGCTAGAGCTGGAACTGAACTAAGGGGGTCAGCCCACGGAAGCCTTTTGGATTGCAGGTCCCAGCGAGACGCTCCACCTACTGTCTCCTGCTGTAGTTGCACCATAAATCCGCAAGGGGCCGCTGCTCACCAACCTTTCCCGTCATTGAGTGCGGTGGACAGTTGTCAGGCTGTGTCCAATTGAATGGATAAATAAAACAGGCAATAACATGGGTAGATATCACAAACGCAAAATTGAGGAAAGAAACCAGAGTACATTATGTATCACTCAGGTAAAGTTCAAAACACACAAAATTTTTTTCCTATTTATTTATTTTTCTTACAATGTTTGCTTTCTTTTCTCAGGTGTAGTCCCCCTAGAATTTCCACCATCCATTCACCCGTGCACCATCACCATAGTCCTTTGTGCTCCTCCCACCCTCGTTTTGATCCCTTTTCCTCCCCCTCCCCTACAGAATGTCTCTGATTTATAATTTAAATAATAACTCCAAGGTCACTAGTTAACTTTAAGAGTTTAACAAGCTAATTTAGTGATTAATCATATATTTTTGGTTAACCAAGACAGAAATTTAAGAAATTAAACAGAACAGAGAGAATATAAATACTTGGAGATGGCACAGAATTTTTGCAACCAGTCACAAAAGATCAGGAAAAAAAAATAACTGTACCACTTAAAGGAAACATCCAGAATAGACAGATCTAAAGAGAAAGAATGTAGGACAGGGGGTGTGTTGAGAGAAATGAGGGGTGCCTGCTAATGGGCACAGACAGGGCTTCTTTCTGAAGTAATGAAAATGCTCTGAAATTGTGTGATGGTTGCAATTCAACGAACCTACTAGAAGCCATTAAATTGTACATGCTGGACATGAGGCGTATAAATTCTATCTCAGTAAAAATGTTAAAAAGTATGTTTTCCTGTACTCTTGTCTGTGTGGAATGTACCTTCTCCTCACATTCAAATTACAAGAATGAAATCAATCAATGGCCTTAAAGTATGCTTTATAAGAGTAATTTCATTTTTAAAGTCAAAACATAAAGATCTAAACAATGTTGTACCTATCATTCTTTGGTATGCATATTTAGAATGTACATCTTGAGATACTTTAAGATTATAAACATGTATAATAAAGTGTTAATAATCCAATTTAGTACACATTTCATATGCTTGAGGATGAGCATACAGAGCTGGATATGAGGTAATGAAGTAAATCTTTTCTTTTGCTATAACTTCCCAAATGTATATTATTAGAGTTTTAAATAATGGATTGCAAAAAATAAAGAATCTAAAACATAAGAGTCCATTAACTTTCATGAAAATTTTGGAAATATAAAATCTTCGAACAACTGTAAGCAGACAGAAAATAAAGGAATCCTCACATTTCTAGAAGTTGGAATTTCAGTTTGTCATGTTACCTTCTGCTGTGACGTTACAAAGCATCATTAAACTCTTAGAATAGCTTAAGCTATTTTATTGGACACTTGGATTCTTATCTGAAAGTCTTTTTTGCTACTGTTCTCTGAAATTAGGTCCCACACAAATTTGGAGTAATAAAACAAATTATCTTGACTTTTGTGCCCAAACCATTTTTCCTAGGCAGTCACAAGATAGCACCAAAGCTTTGCTCCCTCACCTTTTACCCACAAGTGGCCAGCACAAAGAAGGTGCTAGAAATAATTGCATATGATTGATGCTTCCCATAGTTTTTAACTACGTCTATGGTAAATTTTCCTATTTTGCAGGTTCAGAATATAGGGAAAATTGTCAAATCGAAAAGAGCAATACAAAACACCATTTGAATTTCTACAGGTAAAGTGATCCTGTCAGTATATTCTGTATCCTGGGTTGGGTAGTAGCATACTTCTGCTCATGGGTAAGGACTACCCACATATCTACTTTTAAGGAGATTTTTTCCTAGAACTATGACTTTATCAATTGTAAAGTGATACCACTTCACAATTTAGCACAAGACACATAGTAATATCCTAGCGATTGTCAAAACCTTCACTGTCTGTAATACATCCTTCCCTTTGAGGGTGATAATCAATTAAGTCTTTATGTAATAGTATGGAAAGGCCCAACTGTTTATATCTTCCTCTCCAGTGGGGGAATTCCATTCACTCCTATGCTGATATAGTTGACTCTAATAAATTAAAACATAGCTGTCGAGTCTTGACATTAGATGGTGGATTTTGCTCTCTTCTTAGATTTGCTGAAAGGCCTTAAATATGTCATAAGTCAGAGTTCATGGCTTCTGAAAGAAATATCAAAGAAAAACCTTAAAATCTTGGTGGCAAGGACTGTGTCTGGTACTCTTGTTATTTTTAAACAGTTTTATTGAACTATAATCCATGTATTATACAATTTAGCCATTTGAAACACACAACTCAAGGGTTTTTAGTATATTCAGAGTTGTACATCAATGACCACAATTCTAGAACATTTTCTTTATCCCCAAATGAATCTCATATCCCCTTCCCACCTCTCGTTTCCTCTGGACAATCACAAATCTACTTTCTTTCTCTATGGATTTGCTTGTCCTTGACATTTCATATAAATGGAATCATGTAAAATGTGTTTTTGTGTTGTAGACCTTTCATTTATATAGCACTTTGTTAAGGGTTTATCTGCATTGTAGTGTATATCACTACTTCATTGCTTTTTATGGCTGAATAATACTCCATTGATTTA